TGGAGCACAGCTCGTGCCATTTGACCAAGTTATGTAAATAGTCGGCGAACGTTACGTAAACACGAGTCGCTTTCGAGCGGTCCGCCGTGGCTGGCAGCTGCGCTGCGTTGTGTGGTTTGGTGTGGTGTGTTGTGCTCTGATTTGGTGTGGTGTGGCCATACTGTGGTTCAGTGTGCTGTGTGATATGATGTGGATTGTGGGACGATGTCTGTGATGTGCTGTGCTGTGGAAACTTTGGTTGTGCTGTGGTGTGTTGTTGGTGATTACAACAGTACTAATAACGCATGGTGGGATGGGCAATAGCTGCATTTATGTATACCTACTAGAGAGCCACGTGGGGCGGACTGGGACAACATAACCCAGAATGTGTGGTCTGCATGCATCGTTGATAAGAACTTGAGCAGACATCCGGTACGGGTCGGATGAGAGGGAACTGTGTAAGGAACCTGGAACGCCGTACGAGATAGACTGAGCATGGTGCAGAAGGGGTTGATACAACGGGACGGAGAACCAGGATGGGATGAGAGAAGCCAGTGGACAGAGGACGCGACGGAACCAGACTAGACGGCACGAGACCTCCGGCGCCGGGTGGAAGCCCGTGTGGACGGATGTGGAATCGGTGGAACCGGCGCACACTGGCCCTTTTTCAGAATTAGCACGCATTAATTCCCACATTACCTGAAAGTGGTGCAAGACATCACCACGTGATCAAGGACGTATTCCCTGCCAATGCAAAGAGAAGAAAAGAAACGAACTGCCCAAGGAGATTCGGCCCAACAGCGACAGGCCGCTCGGCCCAAGATTTCGCGCACGTTCGCACGGCTCGCCCGCCGGCCAAGGCCGCTCCGAACGCAAGTGTGGCGAGCCCGCCAGCCGACCGCGCTGCACTGACCGCCAGGACGCCCCAGGGTGTCACGTGACCGCATCTACAGCTGTTGCCAGCCACCGTTAGTCGGCCCCGGCCGGGCAGCAACTAAGGTCAGCGCGACGCGAACAATACAAACACATAGGCGCTTTTGACGTTAGATCTTAAGCCGACCACGGGACTTGTGCGGCTTGGACATCAAACGCGACAAGAAATCGGACAGTTTTTCTTGGGCACAGCGTTATGCCTACATGACATTTCAATTAGCACATCTTATGACAAAAGTCAAGCCACATTTAGGCGCATACCAGGTGACACCAGCTTCGAGCCAGGTCAATGAGCTTAGTCGTATCGAACAGGAGCCACAGCCGCTCGCGGACTGAACTGGCTCACGTTATCCACCGTAGAAGCAAAATGGCGCAAAATGGCGCGATGCCCTTTGGTGGACATGGTCAGAAGAGATCGGCGATTCGAACGATGTATAATACGACATGTTCCAGAGTGTGCTACTGAACATAAAGCTTCATATGTATGCCGCCATCTCCAGTTAATAATTGTCCTGTTATTGTGTCCACAATATTCGGCAAAAGTGGTCTATTTAATTTTATACGATGAAAATAGTGGTTTCTAGGGCTTCTACGTAAACTCAGCTTCACAACCATGCCCCTAATTTTTAATATTTTCGCATTGAAAGTCATACAAATTGATGTTCGTCTCACCCTACTTTTTAGGGTCCGCCGGTGGTGTCCGCGCGCCTCTCGACAAACTTCTATTTTGCGGTCAGTTTTACCAAAGATAATTATTTTTTAGGAGGTAAAAATGGCACCATCGGATAGTTTGGAATGTTTTGCACACGATTAGACTGCTTTTTACTCAAAAGAAGAGAAAAAATATTTTGAATTTATGCGTGCTAATTCTGAAAAAGGGCCACTGTGCGGCGGTCGGCGGTCGACTGTGGTCGAGGCTCCGGCAGCTGCGGGGTCTCGGTGCGACCCGCCGCTGTCACCGCTGATGACTAACCGCCTCACCACAGCTCCAGCTGAGATATCCACGGCCCGGTGTGTGTACGCCACGTCAGAGAGAGTCGTGAGTCGGTGTGCAGTAGAATCGCCCGTACCGCGTCCCGTTCGTCTCGGCTCGGTCAGACACTTCACTCCCCTGCCGACCGCCCTGCTGCCGCTGCGGTCATCAAGGACGCACCGCACCGCGAGAAGAGGCGGATAAAAGCTCGGCGTGTCTCCAACGACTCGCGCTCCGACGGAGTCTGGCTGTATGCTTACGTAACTGTGCGCGCCCGAGGACCCGCCCCCTGACTGCGCGCTGTGGTCGAGATCAGGCCGGCCGCGTAGTGCTAGCGCCACGTGACCTTGACACTGGTTCGAGTCCGCTGTAAACTGACCCGTGTCTGACAGCTGATCCTTGCTCATGGCGTCACCTGCAGTGGGCCGACATGGAACACCGCGGGGCGGGCTGCAGCGGCGTGTCTGATTTCAATCTGTCTGCCTCAGTTGGTCGGGAAACTCGACTGTTGCCGAGACGCCAATTCTGACTCGATGAAATGCTGATTTCTTAGGCATAATTTGAATATGATTGGCTCTTTGTGACCGAATTATTTAAATTCGACGCTATTAACATCTTCCGCTTTCGTAAATTCATTAGGTTATTTTCGCATTTTTTTTTTCGCATTCTTGTATGTGTGCTGATATGCGCTCCACATTTGATGCCATTTGTCTCGCCAAAAATGTTGCCTGCAGCCAACTGCATTCACCTGTAGCGAGTGCCGCCATCAGCTGTCACCTATCCGTCCTCACCTGTTCACTTCACATCCAGCTCATCACCTGTTCACCTGTTCAGTAATCTAATCACATCACCTATTCACATCACCTGCTCGCTGAACTCGCATCCAGCGCAGCGCGACACCGGTGATAGTTGGCTGCAAACAATTTGCCGGTGCAAACATCCATTCGCCATGCTATAGCTTCATTAGCACCCTATTAGGGGGCGCCGGGCGGCCAGCCGGGCTCGGGTGACGGGGAGGGGTGCATTAGCCCCGGAACTGAGAGCACTTTTTCGGCGAACGGACACAAAGAGCCGGGCGGAGCTGACGAGAGCAGCCGTGCTGGCGGTGGGGCACGCCCTCTGAACATGATGGTCAGCCGCCAAACCGGCCGCCTAATTGGGAAATGAATGGTCGTTTCAGTTTATTGAAGCATCGTAGACAGTCATAGAGTCAAAATAGTATGCTGTTCCGGCAAACTCAGTTGCAAATCAACGAGACGCACGATTGTTAAGCGTCTTCAAGATGTCGTTCTTGCAAATAATCTCAAACATTAGAAGAATTCTCTGGAATTCCTGGTGTCAAAGAAGCGATCATGCTAGTAGTAGGTACCTAGTAATCTTGTTGACAACCTCGTCAAGAAGAGACATTCAGGTATGAAGTGCCGGCTAGCCTTGTCAATCAGACACCGTTCCTATCCGGGATGTCGTCTGTGCTGCAAGGCCAGAGCTGAACTTTATTGACGCCAAAGCTTCAGCTGGCATTTTGATGATCGTCATAGAAGTCTGTGAGCTGGCTATAAACATTGGAGGCAGCTGGAGGGTAAACGTGGCCTGACGAATGTCGCCGTGGTCAAACCGGAGTGCAGTCTGGTGCCCGGACCAGTGACGCAATTATCCCGGTGACGTCACATCCTGTATAGTACGGCTGCTCGTACAGATTCCGGTACATTCGGACACATCGGTCTGGGGATTGCAGTGCAATTTGTGAAACGAGGCTGCGCATCACATAACTCTTTTCTAACTTTGGATCAATGGCTACCATTATTGGCACAAGAACCAACACACCTTGACTATTCTGAACACTACATGGTGTAGGAATGTTAAAGGAAATAAAGAGCGCTGTGCTGAACCTGCCACGATTATTTTCATTCTCTAGGAAACTACCTCATGACAGTATCGGTTTCGCGAGTTCTCTGTGACCGGCGCTGCTGGCTGGTGATTTTTAAATACAGCTAATATCGCTTACAATGCTGAGAGAATGCAAGTTTAACCCTCTGCGTTCATGTGGTCGGATGCCTAAACTACAATGCCTAATCTGATGGTCAATGCACCCCTGGGCTCCGTTTCATAAAGCGAGTCCGTAACTTACGCCGGTTTTTGGTCTTGTATTGCAAGTGCATGTGAAGCGATGACGATAGTTTGAATCGTTGAATTTATTTATCTTGCAAGCAAGAACAGAAGGGAGAGGGGGAAATAGATTTATCGTTTTACATGCGCTTGCAATACAAGCCCAAAAACCGGCGTAATTTACGGACTCGCTTTATGAAACGAGGCCCTGGTCGCAGATCTTAGATTTAGCGCAATTCCCCGTCAAGTTCCATTGACCTGTCAAAACTAGCTGTGCTGTGTTAAGGGAACTCAGGAACGTTTTGGCTCTGACACCAATAGTGAGCACGGACTCATGGTTGAGCACGCGTTGTCGTGGTGTGGCAGAGTGTTATCCTGTGACAGTAACATTCCTCAATTGTTACGGGATTGTTCATTACAATTATGCCAGCTAAGTCATGACATGATGTACTTACAAATGCAGTCACTGAATTATTAAAGCCTTTGGGTACGACAGATTCAAAGCAGAGCTGAATGACGTTTTTTCGTCATCATTTAACATCATGCACAATATGCTGATGAATGCGCATTAGGAGGAAAACAAATGCATTCACGAATCATAAAGAGGACAATCGCATAACTGTTCTCAGTTACATGATGATGATAGGTACTAAAGCCAAACTGCAGGAACGCGACGCAATACCTAACTACCTCTGACAAACCTTGGCTCGGGTTATCTGACAATAGTTTGCAGTGTATTGAAACTGCTAACAGTCTGTTCAGCGTATCTGCTCTGCCTGTAATAGTCTGTCTTCTCTATCTGTTCTATATTCCTAATCAGATTCTATTCTTTTATTATATGGGTACGTTATTTGCCATCATTGTTCTATCATCCTGCCCCAGTCCCGTCATTTATGTTTGATTATAGTGGCTGCTCCTCTTATTTGATGTCATACCCACTCAATGCATCGAAGCCTTGTAACCCTGCTGTCTGCTGCCCTACAACTAAGCCTTTTGTCTGTGCTTTCAGGGAGAAGCGATCTCGTATCGGGCATCGATAACGAGGGGTTAGACTTCAGTCAACTGGAGAGCTACATCAACGAAAACATCGACGATGGACCCCCGTAAGTACATACCTCTGCTTTTTTGCATGCATTTTTCGCTTATGATTGGCATCCTGGGAGAAAACTAACTTTGGAATCAGTCACAATCAATCAGTCACTAACCACTAATGACTCACGTGTTTCCTAGCCTGTGTCATCCACTGAAACCCGGGCGCTGCCGGCCACCTCTCCCCACACCTCTTGCGGCCTTCGATGTACGTCTGGGCGCCTGTCAAGTGATCTGGGCCGCCCCACACTACCCCGATACCCTGACCGCCCGTTGTCCCGCCCCACACTACCCCGGTACCCTGACCGCCGGTCTCGCCGCTGAGTGGAGCGTTATAACGGTACCGGAGTGCGCCGCTGGAGGTCGGCGTGGTGTGGAGACGGATCCCGCTCCTCACAGGGTCGGGCAGCGGCTCTACCGGCCCGCCGCGCCGGACCGGTTCCTGTGGGCGATCCGAGAGCCAGCCTGTTGTGAGATGGATGTTTACAGTGATAAGAGGGGCTCAGGTTTGTGGTAGCGATGATTCTACGATCACTTGCTGGTGTGCACAGTTGCACGCATAGAGTGGCCAAGAAATTGCAATGCATCATTTTTCCTTTTAAAACAATAATGACATTAAGTAGGTATAACAATGTGGCTGCATTGTTTTTCTCTTCAACTAATGCAACGTTGTGTAACGGCTTACACATGTAGCTAATAGCTTTTCTGTCCTTAAAACGCAGTCGTTCTTTTCTATTGCCATTTCAGCTGCGGCACCAGTCTGATAACCCGTTGTTTAATCAATAGGGTCCTGCTCGATCCCGCGCTCTGTAAGTTTTCCAGAAGTTGCTGTTAGCCTGGTTCTGATTCATATAAGTGCCAGCTTCTTCTGTTCTTTGTTCGGTGACACCATTCCATGCGTGTTGCGTAATTTAGTTATGACCTTCCTTCGTCTCTACACTTAGTAAATACTAACGACCTACATAGTGCTGTGCCCTTCTAACACCTAAGTAGTGCTTCACCATCTGATCATTCTGGCGGGGTCTTTGGGGAGGGGTAGCGGGGCTGATTATTAGCACGGTGCGCGCTTTGTCGGGCAGCTCGGCCTCGAACCCCAGGGGTCAATAATTGTTTCGCGTGATTCCGCGGCTGCCCTGCGCGCGCTGATTTGTTTGTGAGGTCCAATTATAATTGGCGGTTTATGGGCTGGTCTAAATGGTTGTGGCCAGCGTCCGTACAGCTTTAATTATCCGCTGGGAGGGATCAGCGGTGATGGGGGACGCGTACCTCCTCTAGGGTGCGCGCGAGTCGCGCCCCGTACATACATACTGGGCCACATGACAGAAGTGCGCTCAATCTCAACAGAGACCAACGATTGGTAATTTCACATGCCTGCCAAACTGAAATACTTTTTTAAAATATGTACTTCATATTTTACCCGTTTAGGGGTTAAGGTCTTGTGTTAAAAGTATCTCTTTTGTGCTCTTTTATGGATGCTTGACATCTTTGTAGGACGAAAGGTGAAAGCCTCCGCAAATTTTGTCTTTAAGTGACTAAAACTATATGCAGAAGTATAACACATTAGTTTAAATGGAAAGTGTCAATATTTCTCGGTAATACAACGACGCTTTCTACTGCATTCTTCCGCCGCCTAAACACTGGTTAGCCTCTGTGGGTGGCGCTTATCATGCATATTTTACGTGCCATTTTGCTGCGTATGCCCTTTTCACCTACTGCTGACACTCTACCCTGGTATTTACCATAGATCCAATAATAGTTACTGCGTTCACAACAGCTCGGTGCAGCGGCGTGCCGGCGGCGCTGATTGTGGCGTAATTGCGGCAAATAGGTGCGCGGAGCGGCTTGGAGCATTCCCACGTTGTCGGTAATGTAATGTACGACATTATTAATCGCGCTTTGTCACAGGACATTGCTCGCCCTTGTGCCCTGCCCGTCGTTTCCCGCTAGAACAGACGATTATGGTCATGAGGGGCACCACAGGAGCATAGATCAACGCGACAGGGCAAATCTGACAGCTGCGAATAACAGCTCTGGATTGCGTGCTGATCCAGGATTGTGCTCGCTACATACTGATGATTGCGTTGGCTATTTGCGGTATTTGTTGACGTAATGCTCGTGTGAAGGTCCCATCCGTTATAGCATAAATCTGCTGTCAATCGATGATAGTAACTATAGTTGAATGGTATTTTATGCATCTAGTGATGTTCTGAGCCTTTTGATTTCGGCCTGCGGTCTCTTTTGTCCTATATATTGAGTCTCTGACCATCTATGCGAATTATTTTAGATACCGTAGTTCGGCGTGATAAGTAGATACAGCCTGCGCCCTGCACAAAACATCCCCCCTAAATTCACCGTATCTGATGATCTTCGCTAACGCACACGCACGCACACGTGCAGCACTGTCCACTCATGTCCCATCCATCTGTCGTGCGGGGCGCTCCCGCGGCGCGACCGGCCGATGCACAGTGATAGCACCACCCCCGCTGGGTGCTCTCCTTTGTCGCTCGCAAGACCAGAACCCGGTCACCATACATTACCGGTCATTGTGCGTGGCGGCCCGCGGGCGAGGACAAAAGGGCACCTGTCTCGGCCCGGGGCGCCCCTCCCGCCGCCTCGGGCGCCGCCGGGGCGCCCGTTGCGGGATCGATGCTGGTTTTCTCACCTGTGCCGATCCGGATTGCCCTGAGGCATTGTCTGCCGTTGTCCCCGCCGACGGTCGGTGATAAATGAATGGCGTTCAATCAGCCGACGAGATCGTCCGCTATTGATCGCCGTGCTGATCAGTGATCAGCGATCAGTGATCAGTGATCAGCGCGGCGTGTCATCATGGACGGACGGATTTGGGAATTTTTGGGCTTAGTGCGCCGATTTTCAATCATTGCTGCATACCTTTTCAACCCGTTTGAGAACGAACTGTGGAATAAATGTGCGTCGAATGGTCAGTGCCTTGTTGTTTGAGAACGCATTGAAACTATATTTGAGACCATTTATCTTACTCTTTGCGAACGCATCGAAACTAGATTTGAGACCGTTCATCTTGCTGTTTGAGAACACATCGAAACTAGATTTGAGGTTATGGTTTGTTCCATCAGTTTCTTTAAACAGTCAGAGCAGCAACTAGTTATACACTGCACTGCAAGTGACGCCCTGTGAAATTCCTTTCCCTGCCACAAACGCGGATACGCGACGTCTCATGTCACGCTCTGTTGACGTAAAGTCCTCATGTTTTGCGGATTTCCGCAAACCAAGTGTCGTAAGAAACCTATCACATGCGATCTAAGCGCGAGCTCGAATACGTTTGATTTGAAGCCAAATTTGAAGCAAATATGGCTTTAGCTGCCGGTGACGCCACAGCCTAAGTCACTGAACGTAGGCTCACACGTCACATATCGTGTGCAGTGCAACCTCCTTCAAAGGCTTCAAAGCTCCGCTAGTTGCAAGGCCTTTTGCTAGCCTATAGCGGCAAAATTATCCTAACAATGTTGCATGGTCAGGTACCAGTTTGCATAAGAAAATGATTTTTTTACTTGGTTGTTTGTGTTTGCCATCCTATCCTAGGCTGTTTTTTTTGGGCCTGGCAGAATTTGAAATAAAACTAGAATCAGTTCCAACTACATAGCATTATTCAAACATGCTGGCGCATCGCTTAATAGTTATCGATGACACCATAAAGATTTAGTTTGCAGCTACTTTGCATTTGCAGCAATGCAACTGCCTTCTTCAGCTTGTGTGTAAAATGGCTGTGAGCGCCGAGGTACAAAAGCAGATTATTTTTGTCTCATACACCAAGTCTTCCAACTTACAATGGGACCGTTTGCTGCTGCGGTTTTGTTTGTGGCAAACGTTAGATAGCACGACATGGGTTTTCCTTACCAGCGTGGTTCTAGTAAAATAACACTGAGCCTCTCGTATTAACAGGTCGTGGTGGTATATTTCAATCTGCATCCCTGCGCAATTTTCTCAATGAAACCAACACCTAATTTTAGGAAAAAGGCTTTCTTCGCGACGGCTGTTGTTTGCGATTAGATTTTCCGTGTCGTATGTGTACTTTCCGAGATCAAAACCTCAAGATTCTTTAGCTGCCATTTCAGCGGTATTTGGTCCTTACCAGTGATCGTCCCTGGTATTTTGAGCCGTGGGACGATTCTCTGAACACCTCCGACGTTTGGTCGGTGAAGCGGGCGCTAGGGGCTCCGTGAATAAATAAGGCCACCACCAGCCAATCACCGCCGTTACCATGGCAACCAGCGGCCAAGATTGGTCGATTAATTTGCATGACGGGACGGCCGGTATTGTTTCATAATACGCGGCGCGCCTGTATTAGGCTAATGGCTGCAGGTGAGTTTGCCACCGCCTCCCAAAGACAGCCATCAGAGGCAAATGACGCTGCCGCCGCCGCTGTTTGGTCTACCCGCGTCGCGAATGCATTAGTGTGCGGCGTTTTTGGGACGAAACTGCAAAAATGACACTGGTGCTGGGCTGTGACACTGGCGACAGCCCTGACAAAACTGACACTGGCGCGTGTCTGCAACATACGAGTATTTCCCCTCTGTCTATTTTGCCCTGACTTTTTCGCCTTTGACTATTTTGCCTCTGTTTCGCCCCTATCTATTTCGCCTTCAAATACTTCACATCGGACTTTTTCGTCTGACCTTTCTATATCTCTTTCAGTGAGTTCGCCGATAGCCTGTCCGGGCCGGACACCACAAAATATGACCAGGAGCCGGGCGGACAGCAGCGGACAGGGATGCCGACTGGTTTCCTCTCCTGCAAGACGGGCACCTCACAACCGTGAGTGTCTTCGGGGAAGTGGAGGGGGGGGGGGGCGCAGACGGCAGGTTCGACCTGTCTGACCGGGCCATCGTAAAGTGAGGCCGCGAGGCGCGAGTTTGGGGTGCAGCAGAGTCGTGATCGTGCAGCTGGGGTGGGAGAGAGGGGTTAGATCGGACAGGGAGGGTGTCGGGTGGATAGAGGAGGGAGCGCGAGGCTGGGGTGGGGAGAGAGGGGTTAGATCGGACAGGGAGGGTGTCGGGTGGATAGAGGAGGGAGCGCGAGGCTGGGGTGGGGAGAGAGGGGTTAGATCAGACAGGGAGGGTGTCTGGTGGATAGAGGTGGGAGCGCAAGGCTGGGGTGGGAGAGAGGGGTTAGATGAGACCGGTCCAGCGTTCGATGGGGAGAGGAGGGAGTGCGAGGTCGTTGTGTCGGGTCGGACGAGGTCGTCCGGGTGGGCCGGGCCCGATAGGAGCGGCAGCGGTGGTACAGGATCGGGGAGTGTCGAAGGCAACGGATGCAGCTCGATGGTAGTTTGTACGCCATTGGCTCGGCTGCAATTGAAAGCCAATTTACCTATAAGTTATCACACGATGATGAGGATAAGACATTTTGTTGTGCATTAGTTTTATTCTTTAGATATTAGGCTCGGAAGTTTCCTTGTATTTAGTCACCCGGCAAGCATTTTGTGAGGTTCTCGGCTTCGCAATGAAGGAATGTGACCGGCTGCAAGCTCTGAAGTGAAAATTAGTTTGAATCACATTTCAATTTCTTCTACTGACAATAAGATCTCGCAAGCCACCATCACATCTTTTAAAGCAGTTCTGATGTGATCAAACAATCACATTTTTGTGCATCAATCTTCGTGAACATCCGAATGCCGCGTGATTGATGCATCACCCTGTGGCCACCGACTAGTCCTCCGATCTGCGGCCTCTTATCGCCCTTCAGATGCAGTGCAGGGTATCCGCGGGCCCTTGCGGTCACTGGTCAGTGGTCAGTGGTCACTGGAGTGGTCACACATTCGCGGCCGCAGTTCTGACATGGGTCGTTGCTCATAACATGCTCGGTGGATGGCTTACAAGGTGGCAATGCTTGATAAACAAACACGCGGTAATACGACTCCGGAGCTGACGAGTGACCGATAACCCGCCCATGTCGGCTCACTTCACACACTGAGGAGGTTCGGTAGTAATATCATCGTGGGTGGCTTTTCCAGAATTACCAGTCGAACATAACGCTGGCAGGATCTGGAAATAGTTAGAATAGGCAGCTTAAATTAAGTTTTCGCTCTAGGTAAAGATGTTTCAGTTTTTAGAATTCTATGAAGTTGACATTCTCTGTCAGCGTCTACGATTCCATTTAACCATTTAACCGGATTGTTATCAAACATAGAAGAAGGCTACTCCCTGTCGGCTTCAAATCCTGATATCATGAACACAAACAGACTTGGAGCCGTGGTTTGGTTATCTTGGAACCTCAACATTATAGCGTCTAGCGAGGGTCGTGGGGAGCCATTCAGTAGTATTCCTCGAACGGCTGTCAGGTCTGATGACAGCCAGTCCGCTCCGCCGCGGAGACCCGTGGCCCCGTGTATAAACAGACGGCACGGTATGTGCCGAGCCGACCCGGGCTGAGATGATTGAGGCCCCACTGCTGGCCGACTTTTTGGAGGAGATGTGTCATAGATTTAGGCTATTTAACTGGAGCCAACAACAAAATAATGACAGCTTGTGTCTGACTAAAAATAATTCAGTCTCTGACTTTATGTGATCGTCTGAATGTTACCGACTGTGATGATTTTCTATTCAGTTGAAGCTTAAGACTCATTACGCAATCATTTTTGTTTCCCAGTAGGTTTCCCACTGTTTCCCACCGATGCCTTGGAGTAGGTACTCTCTGTTCTCGATCCTTACCTTGATGCGACATGAATCTGCTATGCGACATGCATCTGCTCCCTTCGACCCTCAGGTTGTGAGCCTCAGCAGGAGCCAGTCCGTCCTTCGCTACCTGCCTCCTCCTGTGACGTCAGGGACTGGATCCGTATATATGCTGCCACAACCCCTCTCCTCCCCTCACAGGGGAGAAAATGCTGGCCATCCCACAAGGTCAACCTCCTCGACCGATCGAGGAAGGTCGCGCTTCAGTCGTGCAAAAGTTGGAACCCGTTCGACTCTATGTTATCTCTACCAAATAAAATATCAATAGCAATGACAAAATCAATGCACGCCTACTGTTATCCATCATCACTGGGGCTCTCTATCTATGAATGATAATGCCGTGAGCTGTGGACCTTTCTTACTCGATCCGTGATAAGAGCAGGGAATGCAGTAGCCATGCTAGGCCCGTATTGATCCCGAAGAGAATGGAACACGAAGGTCACAACAGGTGCCGTTTCAAGGGCCGGCTATAGCAGCTCCGACCGCAGACCCGTTACATCGGCCTGGCTTACCACGATGGGCGATACTTTGCTGAATTTCATGGCCACATCCGTCTCTTATCCTTCATCGAGGCTGTGTTCCATTATGGTGAGGATTATTTTAGCAACTTCTGTTTTACATACATCATTTCTCATATGCTCCCTTGTCATCTCGATTATTTGTCTCATGTGCTTCTAGCTTTTCTGATATGCTTAATTGCTTAGTTATTATGCTAGAACAAATTTCCTGACATTGCGACTTTCCTCCCCTCTTGCTGTCTCTTTCAATGAATTGATGGCGTGTGCTTTCTACTTCTTGCGATAACCTCCCTTGGCAATATTTCAGCATTTCCTTTTTAGTAAGCTCCCAGTCCTACACTGGCGTTTTCTAGTTCTTCGTTAGCTCATGAAGTCTAACTTGTTTCCCAGCCTCTGCACTGCTCAGGCGCCCCTGAACTAATCAGGCGCGCCTGTCCGTCAACGCAGGCCCGGCCGTAGAGCCTCCGCCGTCCGCGATACCATGCAGAGTAAACAGAACCATTCGGCGGCCGTTTCCGCTCAAACGCTCCCGCGGGAGGGGTCCTTCGTGACGTCTATGTGCCGCAGCGTGACGTGTCACTCAGGTCGTGACGTGCGCGGCTGAGTGACGTCCGTGATCGGGTGACGGCGTTCCGAGTGGGACACGGGAATAGGATCCGGTTTGTGTTGCAAATATTTGAGGAACTCGGAAAATAAACGGAATCCCTTTATGTATGTAGTTACGCAGAAGCAGAAAAGAAATATCATGAACAGTTTCATGCAATACTATGAACATTGCACATACAGTCGAGCTCTCAGCGTTGATTGGTTACCCTGCCCACTGCCCAGTGCCCATGGTCCACTGTCCAGTGCTCACGGTAGGCAGAGTGCCGGAGCTGCTGGCCGTGATAGGAGAGAGGGGTGGAGGGATCGGTGGCCGCCGGCCGGCCGTGGCCGGTGCCATGACGGGCCGATTTATAGGTACCGTTCTCCGGCGGCCGGTCAGCGCCTCCCCTCCTCTCTCCCTCTCCTCTCCAGCTCTCTCGCTCGTTGTTTGCCGGTCGGTGAGTCAGCCCGCTCTGTTCGATGTGAAAATAGTACACCACTCCGCAATACACCGCGCCGGCGACGGAAGAGGCGCGGCTCAGCCGACCCTGAGGGGCTCAGCATCTGGGGCGCCTCGGGTCCATTGAGAGGCCGCCGCTCGAAACAGGTGCTGCAATTGACTTCGCATTTCTCACTCTGAATGTAATTTGTTTATCAGGTATATTCAATTATAATTGAATATATTATTTGTACAAAACCATACTTTTAAATAGAGGTCGCATAAAATAAATACTTTTTATGCATGGGTTGATGGCTCATCCCAGTTCATTATCACGCGCCGTAGTTAGCTTACATTCCAGTCGCCGTTATGTAATCGCTCATCCTACGGGACTGGTGTCCTCTTACGGCGTAAATATAGGTGTTGGTGCGGTGTCTAAGCGCGAATAAGTGCTTTGCTGTATATGTATTAGTGCTATGCTTATAGTGCTATGCCTCTTCTGTTGCTTATGTGTAGCGATTAAAAAATGTTGGCAATGTGCCGAGTAGGAGATCGTGAAAGTCGGTCAAATGATTTGGAAGGGAAATAGGTCAGGTCTTCCCTGCACAGTCAAAATGCAAAGGGGACTGAATTCAACTCAGTCACCGTGACTATGATCTCGGATAGATGGAGTGAAATTATGCTGGACTTCCCCTCGTTTCTTGCCTCTCCTCCGTTGTACGTATTCCACAGTCTCTTCCGTGTGTTTCTTCTGCTTGATAAGGCATTTAAAAGATAGGCATCTAGCTGAATGGGCACCGCAGTGTTGAACTAAAACAGTCCCTGCCTCCTTGCATGCTCCGAGCTCACTGATCACCGCATAGGATCAGCACAGTCTACCTTTTGTATCTAAACTGCCAAAATCTTCCACATTATTTGTGGTTTCGTTCCTTTCGTCTCCTCAGCTTTCGTTAGTTATAACGCTCTTGACCACTTAACGGCCGTAATGACTATGATATGCTATACAGTATGCAGTATGCACGGCTTGCACGCCGCCCGCCGTCCACTTACATTTCCACCGGTAGATGGCAGTAAGAACGGGCGCCTGCAGGTATACTGCACCGCATGGCCTGGTGCCGAAAATATTCGCACCTCACAAACCAGCGGTGCAGTGGCGGCATGCAGTTTGCTGTTATGGAATAGACTTGTGAATGGAGGAGTAAACATTCACAAGCGGTTGGGAATTACGTTGTCTTAGGTGAATGGACTTTCCCCGGTTCCCGTGCCATTGCACAGCTATTAGGGGCTGCGTCCGCTTTGCTCTCAGTGGGAGGTATTGGTCGAGACTGGCTCGCTGAACTGATTCACTGGCGTGGTCGCCGCCACTTTCTGATGGCACAGGTGACTGGCAGGTTCGCGCGTGGTCAGTAGGCTGCCTGGATTGGTGAATGGGGTGTGTATAACTGGCCAATGATGTGCTACAAATGGCCGGTCAGTCGGTGTTTGCAGGTTTAGCGGCACCCGTGGACTCAGTGACCACCTGTGTACGGACCGGTTTTATTGTCTGATGGCGCAATGAAGTGATCACGGCCAGTTTTGAGCATACATACTCGGCGTTTACCTCCTTTCACCCTCTTCTTACATGCTGGCCGATGCTGTGATCTGTTTGCCAAACAGCTCTGCCGCCCTTTGCATGCAGCTGTGTGCGCCAGCCTGTCTGTCGAGATTGGGAACGGTGACAACAGCTGTAGACGTCGTCACCGATTGTCGCTAGGATGAGGAATAAGCCAGGATAATCTGCTTAGCTGGACATTCAGAGAATAATAGTGCGATTTTGGAACAATCGAATCAGTTGCTCGTGTGTGGATGTGATCGATAGGAAGTTGCGTCACATTTAGGTCGCAAAGAATTACAATGTAGTATTCGTCTTAAGTCGTACCAAAATGCGGGAACACAGCACCATTATGCGTTCTGCTGTACTGCTATTTGATTTATGAAAATAGACAAAATGAAAATTAAAAAGTGCTGTAAAGATTTGAAAAGTTTGTTGGAAATCCGCATGTTTTTTATAGACCGTTTGAGATCTTTGCTGCTATGAAGCGACAATGCGAAACTGACTGTCAAATAACCCGTCCTTGGAGCCACCACGTGGGACCTTTGCTGAAATAGTATTTTTTTTTTCAGTCACCTGCCGGACAGTCCACCGGACTCTGGCTCCGAGCCGCCGTTCTCACCTCAGGACCATCCGTCTCAGCTGCACTCACCACGTGAGTACCCATGCAGGGTGAATCCATGGGTGCCCCGAGTGTCCGGGAGTAACCAGGGTGTCCCCGTGAATGACCAATGACCATGGAACGTCTTCGTGAGTGCTTGCAGGACGTCTCCATGAGTACTGGCACTTTACATGTGTCTTTATAAGCACCTGAATTGCGTCTTACCTGTAATGTCCCCGTGATTCCCCGAGTGCTTTTATCAGTAGGCGGACTGTCTCCGTGAGTCCCCCTGTCCCGTGTGAGTGTCCGTCGCACCTGGCACACCTCTAGCCCCAACTCCAAGACATGCGGTGCTGCCTGGTGACGACGTGGGTCGGCAGTGGCCTGACCAGTCCAGATGGGGCGGCTCGATATGCAGCACATCCCAGCCTCTTTGATAGTGTCACTGCCTTCATGAAATTCACATAGGTGCTGGATATGTACTGGGCGCGCACGACACCCGAGTTATGCTCCTACATGGTGTTGACCGTTCCCCGCTTGACCACGCAGTATCACGATATCTGTTCGGGTTGTACATTTGAGTAAGTGTAAGTGAAGCGAAGCGTCACGAGGCTGGATTTAACGCGGCTCATTGGATGACGAAGGCTACGCTGGGTTCCCCGTGTTTTCAGCAGTACTGCGTATGGTGTTCGTTTTGTCATGCAATCTATTACATATATGTAGGCATTCAACGTCAACACTTAAAGCGCTTAACCTTGCACAATGACGTTCCCAGTGGTTCGGTCATTGCCTGCGCATCTGTGGTTGGAAAGGACGCGGATGTGACCCGCCCCCTCACTCCCACCGTGACCTGACCTTTGCCTGCTGTGACCCCACAGACCAGAAGCCGATGCCGGGTCACCTGACGGATATGTCGGAGAGCCAGCGCTCGTTCCTGATGGGTGGAGGAGGCGGTCGCGCCCCTCCCCCGCCCCCCGTCCAGCAGTACCCGGGCGGTCAGACGCAGCTGAACACCGCTGGAATGACGGCTCAGGTCAGTGACCTCTGAGCAGGGTCAGTGACCCCTGCGGGAGATCGGGCTGTCTGTGTGTCAGGACTGAGTGACGGATCAGTGAGAACCACGAATTAGGTCACGGTTAATCGGCGGGTTGCCCGCGATAATATCAGTCATCATGATTAGATCGGGTCCGGGACCAGAACGTGCTGAATTTACTAAATATTTTTATAGGTACATAAAATACATCTTTATAAGTTTTACTGAAGTGTTCGGTTTTCCTCACTGGGATACTAGCTGGCTCAACCGTCTACTTTTAACGTTCCTGAATCATGGTACTACACTGTAAAAAAAACTTACAAGCCCCTCGTAGAGGAATTCTCAGCGCAAAAATAACATTGCAGGAGCGTGTAAATTTGGCTAATTTTAGGCTAGTTGCCGAGAAACAAGCTTGTTCGACAAGGCTGTGCCTCGTATGCATACGACCACCGTGCTGCACCTAGTTTGACAACACGCACGTAAATAGCGTGGGTAGTGCGTCTACTAGGTGTCATAACAGCCCCTGCCTGGTAAGGTAACTAGCCACTGCCTACTAATCCATACCCAGTAATGGTACTAGCCCCCAAGGCTAGTAATGGTACTAGCTCAAGGCCAGTAGTGGCACTAGTTAACTAGTACCACTACTGGCCCTCGGGGTCGAGGCACGGTCGACGGAATTCCGTCGACGGAATTCCGTCGACCAGTGCCCCCGACTCTCGACCGCCACCCGCAAGTAAACAGACTGAGTAGCGCTGCAGCACATTTATTCGGGCACGAGAACGAGAACGAGAACAATAACAACACCAGGACAATAACTATAACTTTAACAACAACAACAACAACAACAACAACAACAACAACAACAACAACAAACTGAATAATTTTCAATAAGGTTTCTTAAATAACCACCATCAAACATTTGTGATTTTTTCATTAGCTCTGCACCGGCGGCAGTCGCGGGGTGCAGGTAGGCCAGGATATACATGGCCCCATTCTTCACCAGAGAAGTCTGTAATGGGTGAAAAAAACGAATATTAACATTATTATTATCATAAGGCATACCAATCTGGAAAATGATTAAATTAAAGTTGAATAAAGTGATAGATTCCTGCCACAAGCTAGCTTAAGTCCCAAACATATAGCTATTCTGACTTGGATAGACGATACCGGCGCACTTCTGCCAACGACGGGCAACATTATGCGATACTATACATCTTCTAAGAAGCTCAACAACATAATAACTTTTGTTTACAAATGGACAACCTTTTTGTTGAGCACACAGCAAATGATACAAGATGCCTCACCTTCAATCAAGCCAAAGAGCAGTTGGGCAGACACACACAGTAATGGCGACGCAACACAAAATGGACGCCGGCTCCCGGAAGCGGGGGGGGGACTCCTTCTGAAAGCAGCCACAGACTCCTAGGTTGTACCATGCGACGAGGATAGCTATGAGGCACATCCTCATAGCCATCCGAAGCCGCTTACCACGCAAGCTTGCCAGCACGTTTACCAGCTGCAGGCGTTCGTGACAACAAGCGGGGTTGCACGCAAGGTTATCCGTTTAGTAGGTGCCAGCCGGGGCCTCGTCAGCTGAGCTAATAGCGAAATGACCTAATTGAGGGACACGCTAAAAACTGGCCGAGAACAAGCCAACGGCGAGTAGCACTGTGAGGCTGTGCGTAGTTCATTAACACTGCGCAAAATTAGGTTCCTGAACATGTTCTCGCTCGTAGGCATTTGTTCCACAAGCGGCATTGTTAACGTGCATGGCTCTGACTACTAATGTCCATATATGTTGTAACGAGGAGCAAGGGAGGCACTCGTAAAAAATGCTTAATTTCAAAATTAGCTAGTGAATTTTTTTTTACAGTGTACGCTTATGATTTTTTCGTTTTTACGTAAAAGTTTATCAGTTACACAGATGACCTTTCAAGGTTTTGAGGTTTTCCTGGTCAGCTGCTCCAGGATGTGGTTTCCCTTATTTTACGATGTGATTGATACTTAGGCGGACTTTTAGCGCAGTTCATGTTCGGTCAAACGTGACATGTCTTCGTGCCGAACGTTCGATATCATCTTTCAAAGCTACCGTGCTGTAGCAGTCTCCCGGGTGTACGCCTCGTGTGCCTCCCGTTTACATTTTCTGCGGTCTGCTGAGTCACTGATCTTGAGCCCATGGAGGCCCAGCGCTGCAGCTGCGTTTAAGTAGCGTTGTTGCAATGTTTTGCAATGTAGCAATGTTGTGTTCTTAGTAGCATGATTCATGCATTGAAATTCTTGGTCACCCGTGCGGTCAAAAGCTGTGTTTTTATGTTTGCACAGTCATATCGCTATTTTGTGCGTCTGATCCTAGAGCTCCAGTGCTCGCCGCCGTTCTAAGAAGTGCCGCGCTGGTTCAGATGCCATATTTGTGCGTTTGCTTTGCTTAATCTCGTTTCGTACGTCTGATCCTGACCTCGCGCCCGCCGTTGCCCTCAGATGGCCATGTCAGCCGCGCTGGGTCAGATGCCGCTGCCACAGTACGGACAGCAGATGCCCCAGATGACGCCCGCCCAGATGACGCCCGCCTACTCCCCTCCCGCCCAGACGCCTCAGCCGGCAGCGCCCACTAAGAAGCGGAAACTGTCCGCCTCGGAGCTACTGACCATGCCGATCAAACAGGAGCCAGGTGGGTGACAGCGGCGGCCTTAACACGCGCACTGCAGGGGGGGTTGTTTTCAACCCCCCCCCCCTGTGGTTTTTCGCAAATCGCGAGAAAACGGCGGCGCGTAGCGCCGCCAAATTTTGCATACCTGTTCTCCCAACTTTTTCACACCTTGAGTAAAAATTTTGACCCCAGGTGACCTATGGTCAGGTCACCAGGTCAGGTCAAGTGACCCTACCTCGAAACGTAAATTTCGAAGTTTGCAATCCCACCAAGCCCACAGTTGTTGAGCTATGATCTTGAAACCCACAGGAAATAGTAAAGTCATCACGAGCTACAACTTGTATATCTCGGAATTTTTATATCGATGACCTAAGGTCAGGTCATTTTTGCGACCGGCCCATTATAAGTCAATGGGAGAAATTTCAACTTACTCTGAATGCCATCCTATGACTTCAATACGCTCAGGATCATAGTATTACAGGTCCCTGTTGGTGATTTCACCGAAACATATCACTTATGACCTTTGGAAGGTGATCTCCAGGTCATCTTAGGTCACCTGAGGTCACCAGCGGTTTTTCTTCAATAACTTGAGATTGAATAGAGATAGAGACTCCGTTCGACGTTTATCGTGTTTTTCTCGTCAATGCGGATCGAATGGTATGCAACATGACCTATTTCGGTCAGGTCATGACCTTGACCTGAGGTCAATTTTTCAACTTGACCTTTCGAGGTCATATCATATATCATTCGATGCGCCTTGACGAGCTAAGAACGATGGCGTTCGAATCGATCCTCTGTCTTGTGTGCAAGACAAGTTATTCAAGAAAAACTACCGCGAAATTCCTGTTGTGAAAATCGTAACATTTTGTCTTCGGTGACCTCTGGTGACCTCGTTTTTGACCTGACCCAAAAATGATCTTAGTATTTCTTGTAGATCTCATCTCAACCTATCCAACGCCGTTTACCGCTTGTCGCTACGTTGCGCCGTTTTCGAGATCTCAGGGGGGGTTGTTTTCAACCCCCCCCCTGCAGTTCGTGTTCGGCTCAGACCCGCTGCAGTGCGCGTGTTAAGGGGCAGCGGCAGTCTGGGGGTTTGGTGGGCTGGGTGGAGGGCCCGGTGCCCGCCTCAGCGACTCGTGCTCTATCGCTGTCGGTGGCGACGCGAGCGCAGCGGAGTGTGACGGTGGGGGACATGGTCAGACTTGAGCCACTACACCCCTGGCAGGCGTGCGTTACTTGTTTTTTTGTATGTGTGTTTGTGTGTTGTGGTCCTAAGAGCGTATGTAACGTACTATGTAGGCTGATTGTCCCACGTGTGCGTTACGAGTGAAGTAGTAATATCCTTGACCGTTACGTCATTGTCCGGGAGGACGGTACGTCACGAAACTGATTGGGTGAAGTTATGCCATTTCGCCTTTTATGATCGCACGTCTGACCCTTCACATTTGGGCTGGATTTGCTGGGGTCGGGACATAAAACCTTCCTTTTTACGTTGATTTTTTTCCTCACTCTCCGATAGCCTAGTAAATGCCCGTGCCTGGCGCCGGTGAGCACTTGATTCCATCACCGACGCTCACCTTTGGGCCTGGGTGAGCATTCCGCCGCCTCCTCCCACCGAGCCGTTCCCAGGAGGCCGGTCACGCCATCGCTCGGCCGGTCGGCCGGTCGGCGGCCTTGGCCGGCGCCGGATCGCCCGCCCTCTCGTGACCGGCGGGTCACCGGGCGGGCGCCGGGCACCGGGTCCCGGGGGCGAGCCGACGTTACGACACTCCTGCTGCGCCGAGCTGTGCTCTTGTCGATGGTCATGGCCGATGTGTTTCGGAACACGGCTCCAGTTGCAGTGGCCCGGCCGGCCGGGTCCGATTTCTGGATAAAGCACGCCGGGCAGACCGTGCGCCCCTCAGGGCGGGCCCGCCTGCACGCTGCGCTCGGCGCGTGCTACCAATTAAACGAACCCGTGTGCTCAGTGGCAATTAAGCAGACCGCCGCCAGCGATCGGCGTCGGTCGTTAGAACACGCTGCAATCGCGCTAAAAGCGCCGTTTGCGGTGGTGTGGCGCAGGGTCACGTCGTTGGGCCTATCCTGTTTGCACCGTTTGTTGAAGATCGATTAAAGGGTGACCGCCGCCGTCAGCACACACATAATGCGGCCACGGCGCCGCCAGATTGATATTAATTACCGCGTCACTGCTCGCCGCAGTGGATTGCCTCCTGTTGATGCAGGCGACTCGAACCATGCCTGCAGAGGTGCTATGGTACGGCGCATGCAATGCTGATTAAACCGTGCTGACTAGCCTGACTAGCCGCTCGTTATGACACCTCAGTCAATGGACTGACCTGGGTTGTGGCTTTTGGTTCATTTGCGTGTTTTGTGTTGTCATTCAGCGTCCCATCAGGTTTCAATGGGCGGCGAGTCGACGACCGCGCCGTTTGTGGCGCAGCGTCCGTCAGCCGGCGGCAAATGTGACGCGCTGGCCGTGGGAGCTCCACCGTAATCGTGGGGCTGGTGATGGCTTTACGAGCCGGTGCTGGCCGGTTCCTGGCTCCCATCACGACCAACTTCTGGTAATGTCCAACTGGAATTAGCCCCGCCGATTCAGCCGAGTCTGATGATGACTCGCGTTCCACCGCGCGTGGCGAGTCGGTGACCTCCACTGGCGGAAATACTCAGTCAGCAATCGCAACGCCTTCTACTATATTTTATAACAATCGGAAGAGCTCTCCCAAATTGATTCGGCGAGTGCGTACGGCCGTAAAATTCGTAACTCGGTGTCTAATGTAGCGCCGCTGTGCAATTTTGCGAGGGGTCCGCGGGCCGTGAAAGGGTGACAATAGGCAGCCGGGTTTAATGACACCGTTCGGGGGACGAGAAAGGCTGTCATTGCTGGACGTTAACACGACATCCGCAAGCATTGGCACGGTTTGATCGCTAACGTATTGAGCTTGTTTGTGAATGGGGCGCCAGTAATTCAGGGGAATGTGTTGGTGTTCATGTCCAACACTGCTCGTTACATTCCAGCTCAAATCGTTTTAACTGTACATCATATCGCGCGTGTTTTCCTGAATGACCAAAATTACGTAATCCGCAAGTGCTGAAATGTCGCATTTATGCAGTAAGGCAAGCAGCTTGTGACATAGTGACTGGCTTAGAATCATGTCATACCATAGGTATGTATGTACATAACAGGAATGTCCAGCCTTTGCTGAAGTCACAACTGTTGGTCCGATTGGTCCGATTTTCAGTGCCTACTATCCATTGACTCGCTACTCGTGCAGGCATCTCGCCGACGTGCAGCCCGTCCTGCAGCCGCAGAGACGACGTGCAGCTCCTCTCCTATCCCCGAGCTGCAGCTTGTTGAGTTGTGAGGTGTTGGCGCGTTTTCGTCGCTGTTTTCGCGCCATCCAACAGGTGTTATTGCTGTCAGCTGATGGACACTGGCCGCCGGCTTGGGATAGCTTTCAGCATTTGTACGATGCTGAAACGCTGGAGTGTTTAGTGTTGTCTGCTGAAAGACGTATGATGATGTCGCTGTGTTCATTATCTAATGAGTATGTGCTACACTGCACAGTGCACACATTCTTTTTCATTTTTTCATGTCTTCGTGTGTCGTGTCCAATGTGAGAGTTGTGGTGACTCGCGTGTGACTGTGACATTCACTTTCAGCTTCCGCGAGTTCAATGGCCTGGTGTGTTAGCCTCTAATGACACCTGTCGTTGGTGGTAGTTGTTGAGCCTCTGATGCCCAACGCTGGGTGGGTGGTGTAGTGTGGTGATGTGCTGATGTCAGTGGTGATGTGGTGACTAGGATGGTGTGTTGTGTGGACCGAGAGGCCTTTATGCTCCAGTGAGCTGTGTTCAAACTGAGCCGAGAGTGGTAAAATGTTTACAAAGGGCGTGAATGTGTGGACGGAGTTCTGTTCCTGAAGTTCTGCCCGTAAACCATTGATGTGTTCGTTAACCGTCCTCTGTTCAACCATGTTAACCGAGAAATGCTGGAAGCTGCTCTGTCTATTCCGTCCATCTGCCCTCCCTAGCTGTAAGTTTCCATGACCCGTCCCTCCAAGTCCCATGGCTGAGCAGTATTGCCTGTCTCCCGGCCCCCGTCTAAGCGGTACTGCCCCCACCCCTCTGTCCGAGCAATAACTACTGCCTGTCCCCGAACCCCCGTCTGAGCGATACTGCCCGGCCCTCCCAGCAGGCTCTCAGGGAGCGTCTCCGCCCAGCCACCCGCCGCCGCTGCCGCCCATCGTCACTCAGCCCACCATGGACGACGACGACTACACGTTCGACATGTCCTGCAGCAACGACGCCACCAGCTTCATGGACCCGGCCTACCAGTGCATCCGCTTCACGGCCTTCCAGCAGAACCTCTGGCACCAGACCTGCGACGCCAACCTCAAGGAACTGTGAGTGACTGTCGGGTGGGGGGGAGAGGGATGTCCTGAGGGTCATAACAAGGACTAAATGTGCGACGTTCGAAAATTAGAGGTCAAATAAGACAAGTGTAGTGTGGGGATGCCACAATGTCCATTGCAATGCTCTGTTGCTTGCTTGCTTCATAGAAGTGTATCTCATGTCTCACCGCTCATTTGCTATCGTACTATGGTAATTGTATGTTTCTACGCCACACCATCTCATGTCGAGCGCTTAAATGCCGCCCTTGCCATCAGTCAGGTCGTGTTGCTGATTTAGTTTCCCTGTCCCCGGCGGCTGCGGTGGCGGCGCGGCGCGGCGGTCATGGCGCGCGCTCCCACTGACCGCTGGTTCTGTCTCGCTCCGCCGGCAGGCAAACGCCCTACTTCAAGGTCGACGCTGACAAAGGCTTTAATTACTCCAACTCGGACGAGGCGTTCGTTTGTCAGAAGAAGAACCATTTCCAGATCACGTGTCACATTCACCAGGCCGGCAGCCGGCCGCACTACGTCAAAACGGCAGACGGCCTGAAAAAGATCGACGCATTCGTTGTCAACTTCTTCGGAGTCAAAACGGAGAGCCCGAACCAGTGTATCAAAGTGGAACAGAGCCAGAGCGATCGCACCAAACGCTGCTATAAACCGGTTGTGTAAGTAAACGGTGCAGCGGCCGTTCTGACCACCCTGTGACGAGTTTGGGTAGTTGTGTTTTAGTCTCTAGCCGCCAGAGGCGCTGTTAAACCGGGCGGCCTTGGACCGAGCGGAGAACGGCCAACGGGATACACCTCTTGGTCACGTGACGCGTCTATTAATCATGACTACCTTGGCGATGCGTCACAGGGCCCCACTTTATCAGATAACGGGAGTTATTTGACATAACCAGTAGCTCTGCCCTCAACGCCTCGAATTATTTGACCTCCGCTAACACAGCTCGTCCGGCACCTGTTTCCCGATCGGATGACTCATCCCCCTTTTCTGGCCTTTTCAGCGTGGAACTCAACCCAGAACAGACGGTCAAAATCACCGTCGGGCGTCTGCACTTCTCCGAGACAACCACCAACAACATGCGCAAGAAGGGCAAGCCGAACCCGGACCAGCGTTTTTTCTTCCTGGTGGTTAGCCTGCAGGCGGCGGTCGGAGAGAGTCGCCATCCGCTCGTGCAGTACGCCACAGAGCGCATCATTGTCCGGGTGGGTACCTGCCGGTGGCCAGTGGAAAATTGCGTCACCCGCCGCCACCGGCGCCGTCAGACACTCTGAGCGGAAGGCCCGGCCGCCCGTGGGAGTTTCCTGGTCTGTGCCTGCTCGCGGCGGGCTGCGAGCGGGAAGGAGCGGGCTGGTACACTGTCCGTAGGCGCGGGAGGGCGGTGGTACCGTACCCGACCGGGCCACATCCCTGGGACCGCCCCTGCGAGACCGGTGACACCTTGCCGGTGACTGCACGTTTTGGCTATCGGTTCGATCGAGAGATGACTATCCAAACTGGCCTGCATTGCCGCAGTTGCGTCACGTTATGCCTCTGCCAAACTGCATTCAAACGTCCGGTCCCGCAGGCGCAGCGCTGGAAGAGTCATGCGCGCTGACCTTGTTTAACGAAGGCCGGGTTTTCGCCAGAGCTCGTGACTAAGTGACTGCTACTGCACCATCGCTCTTCAATGACCCTTGCTTGTAAATGCAATGCTGCTAGCTCGAACTCAAAATGGCGTCCCGATAGTCATTCTATTCTGTTATTCACTTGCTTAATCACTTTTCATTATCCATGAGATCTTGAAGCATTTTAGGGAATATTATCACCACAAGTAATTTCTATCCGAGATTAAATTTGTCCTTAACCCGTAGACATGATACAGGCAGGCCCGACTGGGAACCGGTCTGGCCGTCAGCCCACGCGCCTTGTTTCCAGTAAATATTATTTCAGCTGGCAGCTCGGCCGAGATAGGCTCAAATATACTTAACGGACGCGAGCCTGGGGTGCGGCAGGGCGTATCAGACATACAGACGTATATGGTGGCGCTGGCTGGGCGGAGTTCGTATGGTAATGCCACGCGAAGGTCTTGAACTATTTCTGCTCTTCGCGAATCAAGGCGATAAATAACACCCTGACTCTGCAATGTGCAGGTGCGAAATAGCATTTCAGAGTTATGACTCCAACTTATGGCAATATGGGAAAATTGCTGTGCCGGGGAAAATTGCTGTGCCGGCTTATTGTCCGTAGCAATGTCATCTTAAGCAGTAATCTGTCAGGAGTAAGCTTCCTAAATTCATGGCATTATGTCAATGATAAAGCGTGGTAGCGTGGATCGTGGAATCGCCTTATGTCGATAAAAAAGTTTTCAGCCACCTGTATGATATTTTTTGTGGCCGAGTGACTGCATACTGGTCGCGTCGGGCTGCGGCGTGGATCGCGGGCTAAGCTGACATGTTGAAGGTCATGATCCCATGGTCTCGCCTCCTGACTGCTTAGCATCAGCTTTGTGCGCCGAACCTGATAACACGGGGTGGCAGGGCGAGCTCAGCGCGAGCGCCGCGGCTCCAGAAGCTTCCTTTTTCCATATTCCACGGTCTGACTGGAACATGATGTAGGTATTTCTGATAGGAACACCACTGCTACTTTGTCTCGGCTCGGTCCCACGGGCAGAATAGGGAGAATAGTGTCATTTGTGTCAGGGCAATTGGATGGCCCCCTCCTTTTGTTTGGCTGGGCTGATTCTGGCGGCACTGGCGCGGACCATCATTTATTTCTGGGAGGCGAGCAGCATCGATCAAACGCGCTGCACTGGTAAGCGTGACCTTTCTGTCGACCCCTGCCCTCTGCCGCGGGCGCTCTCATACTCTACCCACTCGACTGTGGAGCTACTCTGTCCTTGTGTGCTGCGCAGTTTGCCAATGATCCTCTGTTCCCGGGCGGCGGGCAGGCCACGGATCGTTTTACACGCTTATGTGCAGAACTAGCAAACGGGCGAGCAGCAGTAAAACATCCGAGCCTTTGATTTGTGATATAATCCCACTCAGCTATGTGTTATTGAGCTCGTACACGACGCATAGCTCTTTTAGTAAACACTGTAGCCCTCTGTCTCGGTTATGATTTTGCTGCGGTTTTCTGGCGAAGCGTGACAGTATGTGTGTCTGTATATCGACCGTATCTTCAGCGTGTCCTAGATATCGCACCTCAAAAGTTTTGTTGTTCATTCATTTTGTTTCGACCAAACTAACAAACTTACCAGGCTGAGCTAAACTCGACCTCTCATTTGACCATGACCTGTGTCTGTTCCCAAGCGTCCAACCCGGGTCGGTTGGAATCAGACCCGACGTCTTATTTGACCGTGACGTGTCCATTCGACCTGTCATTTGACCGTAACCCATGCTTTTCTATATCATTTGACTTGACCTGTGTCTGTTCCCCCAGGCGTCGAACCCGGGTCAGTTCGAGTCAGACGTGGAGCTTTGCTGGCAGAAGGGACAGACCCAGGACTCCACCTACCACGTGGGAAGGGTGGGGATCAACACCGACAAGCCGGACGAGGCGCTCGTGGTGCACGGTAACCTCAAACTGACCGGTCACGTGATGAACCCCAGCGACCGCCGTGTCAAGGACGATATTGAGGAGGTGAGAGTCGTCTAAGACACCGCAGATTGGTGCCAGGAGCTCACGATACCTGCTATAAATGTCCAGGTGTAACACTGACATATTTCGTCTATGAATGTTATTTTCCGTTGCTGTGATGTTCCCTGTGGGGTGCGATTGATCCAAGTGTTCAGCGGAATATGTATCATTTTCTTCTCTTATGATATTTATATATTCACTCCCTTTTGTACTAGTTAAGTCTTGCCATCGGCACCAAACCCCTATGGGGGCAAAATGACTATTACAATCGGTGCGTGCTAACGCACCAGTAAACAAACTCAAACTAACCCTCTGCCTGTCCTCAGCTGGACACCAAGGAGCAGCTGAGTAACGTGCAGAAGCTGCGCGTGGTCAAGTACAACTACGTGGACGAGTTCGCCGATAGCGTGGGTCTGGAGGACGCAGCCGACACCGGGGTGATAGCCCAGGAGGTGCAGCGTATCCTGCCGGACGCCGTCCGACCCGCCGGAGATGTCACTCTGCCCAGCGGGAAGAAGGTCGACAACTTCCTCGTGGTCAACAAGGTCAGTGGGATGCTGGTGGGACTGACGGTGGGAGTGGCGTTTAGTTCGTATAAGCCGAGAGGATTTGTTTTCTTCAAGCTTAGATTTATGATAAATTAGCGTATTTTGCTACTGTATAGTTGTATGTACAAAGAATGCTGTTTTTCACACTGCAGTTCATAACCTTGGCTCATTTGGTTCATTTACAGGTCAATACAAAAACTCCATCGTTCAGGATTGTTGAGCTCATCGATAATCTATGCTCGGATGTTCCTAGCTGGCTCGTTATTTGGTTATGTCTGACCCGGTACCTTGTCGCCTCGCAGGAGCGCATTTTCATGGAGAACATTGGCGCCGTGAAGGAGCTGTGTAAGGTGACTGGGACGCTGGAGAATCGGATCGAGGAGCTGGAGCGGATGAACCGCCGGCTGGCCAAACTCAAACGGCACGGCAGCCTCAAATCCACCAGCAGCATATCAACAGGTGGGAAAGGACGAGGATTTTGGAGGGATGTCACAGAAGGAATGAGAATGGATATGTTGACAGACTGGCGCTTAAAATTAAGTCAACAACCTCGTGACATCCTAACGGACGATGAAAACATATTTGCTTATCGTTGTGAAATGCAAATGAAGTGAAAAAGAGTAAGAAGTTGTGTTGTTCTTATTTACAAACCCGTGGCATCCCTGTTGTTACGTAAGATTGATTGTAAGCATATTTTGAACGCTAAAGTGCATTTATTGAGTGTTCGCCAGTCTCTTCAAGCCCGTGTGCTGACTCTTCGCTTCGATTGCAGTGGCTAGTCGAGCGTCGAGTTATTTATCGTCATGTCACTTCCACAAGCGGAAGGCGAAGCGTCCCACGAGTCTGCTGCATAACCGCCTCGTGCAGGGCGGCGTCTGCGTTCTCGTTCTCGTCATGCTCTTCTGGTGAGTGGTCTCTCCAAGAGGCAGCAAATGTGTCCTTGTTTGGGTCAGCGAGGATAGTTGTCCACTGTCCAGCCTTGCGAGATCATGCCAGTGGGCTGTGAATGTGATTTTTGGGCTGAGTGACTTAAGGACCTCTCAGTATTCTTTTTGTTGGAGCTAAGTGACTGTAGGCTTCGTCAGCACTATTGCATGATGAATAGGATGTCATACTGTAGCTGATATACCGTGATATTTTTATTTCCGACTCCCGCTGTGTAGCGATATGTAAATGTCGTGCTGTGTGGCGCGGTGATTCGGCCGAGGCGGTATTCTTGCGTGCGCTGCCGCCCACTTCAGCACGGGAAGGTATTGATCGACTCCATCGACAAAACAGTCCTATATAGCCGGGAAGGTCCGACCGGGATCCTTCACTCTTCTGTGAAACACTCGCTGTTATTGCGGCACATAGAATTATAGCTCTGAGTAGCATGTGTAGGCGTAGGTAATGAACACTCATCGGCCATGACGCATTAAAGTTGGATGACCACTGAGTTCTCTTTTCGTTTACTCTGCTCAATGCTCATTAAGGTTTATATGTCGCGTGAATATCGTATGTTTTTAGTTTATGTGTGGTACAGCTTCCAAAGTATCTTACGCTGAAGGATTTAACTCACATTTCCGTCTGTTCGTTTTCAGTTTGATAGCGATGTCCACCCTTTACATCATGGAGTGGCAGAAGCACCAGGACCTCCTCTCCAACATCACCTCGCCGTCCGCCCACTCTGACCCGACCTTGCTGCCGAACGGAACGCAACTCCCTCGTCCGATACAGATGACCAACACGAGCGACGGAGACGGCTTCCTGGAGCCGCTGCCGCCGCAGAGCCGGGTCTCGGAGGTGCCCTACTCGCTGGTGCCGGCGACCACGCGCGACCCCGCCGCCGCCGCCGCCCCCGCCGCTGCCCGATAAGGAGGATGTGACGGAGGTGGAGGCAGTGACGGTCCTGTCGCCGCTGGACGGTGAAGATGGGACTCTGCCGACCGCTCCGCCGCCCCCGCCGGCGGAGAGGGAGCCGCCAGGCGCGCCGCCCACCGCCCCGCCGCCGCCGCCCCCGCCCCAGCAGCCGGACTCTGCCGACCGGATCCACAACTCCATCACTGCCGTCAACTCATCGGTAGCAGAGAACGACAGCGGCCCGGTCGCTCTGCCGGGCTCGGACAAAATGGTGGCGACCGAGGCCGGAGTGAGCTCCACAACCTCCGCAACAACCACCACAACGTCACCATCACCAACGACAACTACAACAACAACAAAGGCCACAACGGCGTCGCCCGAGCCGCCGGCACCGTCTGTGACCTCTCTCGATACCGAGCTTTCGCCCCCTGCCATCAGAGTTACCACAGAACGGCCAGACTCCGATCATCAGGAGGAAGCTAACGGTACGAGCACGGTGGCACCTTCTGAGCCGGAGGTGGTGGTTGTGGAGGCGGTCGGCAGGCGCGAGGAGACGGGAGAGACACAGGAGACGGTTGGAGGACGGGAGGAGACGGGAGAGAGGAGGGAGGAGACAGTCGGGAGACGCGAGAAAGTATCCGGCAGACGGGCGGAGACCAGTGCAGCCGATGAAGCTAGCCTTAGAGGCGCCGAGGAAGCCGCGAACGGTATTGAAGGACCTGGCCCGAACCTGGCTGACGACTATGAGCCTTCTCTGAAAGACTTTATGACCGCAGAGGCTAGTTCGACTACAACCGCCGCAACCACCACCACGTCGACAACCAGGTCAACCACCACTACCACCACGGAACCATCCAGCTCATCCAGCACTCCCGTAGCAGCTCCTGCCACTACCTCTACCGCCACTACCGCCCCGACCACTGCCCCAGCTCCAGAAACTCCTACCTCCACCCCTGCTCCGACCGCGGCCCCGAGCACAGAGTCTGAGCCGAGCTCCACCACCGAGAGGGAAGAGGAGACCACCGCCTGGGATGACGACGATCTAGAGACGGAGACGGAGACGGAGACGAACAGCCTGCTGCCGCCCGTTATCGGAGCGGACGAGAGCTGCCGATCCGGCCGACGGCGACGTTGCGAGGTAAGGAGACGAGGGATAAGTCCAGATGGGACGGGAAGGGAGTGGGACAGTGTCCCTGTGGGGCGAATGGAAACGTCTCTTGGAGATGTGAGTTTCAATGTTCATTTTGCAACCACTTTGCGCCTGGCAGAGCGTTTGCTCAATGACTGGCTAGCTGATTGTTGCGCTTCATTGGTTTTACTTGCATTGGCATCATATGTAAATCTAAATTTGAGTGCGTCGTTCCATTCAAACTGGCATTATTTCAACCACACCTTATGCAAACAAGTGGTTCTGCTGATGAAATAACGAGTAATACTTGGATCATAGTGATACTTAGTCTTAGATCGGGGCTCTGTCCGGGTCCAATGTTTATATCTGCACCCAATGTTTGGCCCGGAATGACGCGGGGATGGGCAATGAATACAAAGTCGTAGCAGAGGCATGAGCTGACGTATACACTACACAGAATTGTGGTCATCTGAACGTCAGGCTTTTCCAGTCTGACGCGTGTTCTGTTTGTGATACCCATGGATCAGGTACCATTTGACATTCAACTCTGAGGCTGTTAATTACGTATTTCTTGGACGCAGCTGCCGCTACGCACCTCTTTCGAGGTCGCAGGGAGCTCACCGTTTCGAAACACATTCCAGCCACTTTCCGACCAGTCCGAGTAGTCCTGTCTTCTCGGTGTCTGGTTGAAAGAAGCTCCGGGATCTGTGTGTTTAAAGTTGCGTGATATTAAACCACCAATCACTTATTCACGTCATTCAGAAAGTGTTTCAAAGATACGTCATGATTCAACCGTATGCACCTTCTTCGAAATAATGAACTCCCGGCTACATGCTGGTGGCCTTATCGTGTCCAACTCTATTATGATCGAGACTTGGCTCATTTTGACATTACCAGCTGACAGCCTCAGCTTATGTATGATCAGCCTTACCCGACATCAAATCGGATCTGAATTCTGACCGGACCTTTGGTTCCGCCTCCGGTAACTGTAGGATTTATTCAACCATTCTATGTAGCTCTGCCTCAGACCATCTGCTCACCTCCGCCACCTGACCTCCTCTCAGATCACTCGTTGATCCATGAACTCCTATCTCCCCTAGGTCATCTGCACGCCTCTGACCTGTGACCTGCCCCAGGTCACCTGCTGACCTCTGGCATCCCCCTCGCCCTCAGGTCATCTGTTGCGCGTCGCGTCTGTCTGAGACGGACCGCAGTCAGCTGCTGCCGCGCGGCGGACACAACGAGAGCGACTCTGACACTGATGATGATGACGATGATGATGACGGAGACCGTGACGACAGCGACGCCAGGCTGGATCGTGAGTCACCCGCTCCGCTCTTTCAAAGCTCCGTTATCGGAAGGCAATGTTAAACTCTCTGACAGTCACGTGCATACCTATCGTCATAGTTGTATTCGCTATTCTGCGAGATACAAAAGAATACTTGCATATAGTTATATCCTTAATATGAACATTTAAGCATGCGTTTTTTGCGGACAATGGAGTTCGTGGTGCTTGCCTGTGTTCCTGAAATGCCAACTGTCTGATGTGCTACGCTGCTGCGTTCGATCGGAATGGTAATCGGAATATATATCCCGTATGGTATTGAACACACTCGCATATTTGCCGAGATACCCATACCTTAGAGGCCTTATGTTTTCTAAAAGTTATGCAGCCTGTTTGAATCCCCGCCACTCTCTGCCGTTTTGCTTTCCCTGATGTATATGTATCTACTTCCATCATCAGGATCACTTTTGTGTGATCTCTCTGACCCCTTTCTCCCCTTCCCAGCGTCGTCCAGCCTGTCTGACGTCCAGGAGAACCAGATCGGCCACTCGGCCACCAGTATGGACGGCTCGCCGGGCGGCAAGCGCGACCCGTCCTCTTTCCCCAGTGAAGAGGAGGTGCGGGCGCGAGCCGCCGCACAGCCGCGCTTCACAGGCACGCGCCGGCTCAGGTACGGGGATCAGGAGGGAGGGCAAGTGGAATTGGGTGGCTGGGGTTGGGATGGCGGCTCGAGCTAAGTGTTGGAGGTCGAGCTTCGACTCAGTGCTGGGAGGGCTGTTATTTGCAAAAAAAAAGGGTACATATTTGGCATCGCTCATGCTTTGACGTTGGGAATGGACGTCAGAGACACATTGATTTCAAGACGTAGATGCTTACTTATTTTTATCAATAAGTCACTACTAGTGGTACAAACTACTGAACATCTCAATAACTATTAACTACTTACCGATTTCAAGAAGCTGCATCGATCTTTGTTACGTTTATCACCTACGTTCCCGGCGCGGAGTGGCCCTGCGGCTTCTAAATCCTCCCGTTCCCGTCCAGGTACCCGGGAGGACACGGTGACGTCACGATGGCCAACGACGCGCTCAGCGGCACCCTCAACGACTGGTCCAAGAGGAAGGTGGAAAAGAAGACGACGCCCTCGGTGCGCGACTGGCGCCGCCGGAGGCCGGTGGTGCGCCGACACCACCGCACTAGCCGCGCTACCGCGCCAGGTCAGTCGGTGGGGCGTCAGGTCAGCCGCCAGGCGCCACTGCACCAGGTCAGGCGATAGGGCGTCAGGTTAGCCGCTGCCGTGCCAGGTCAGTCGGTAGGGCGTTAGGTTAGCCGCTTCCGTGCCAGGCCAGTCGATGGGGCATCAGGTTAGCCGCTACCGCGCCAGATCAGGCGACGAGTCGTCAGGTCTGGTGCTAACTGCGACCGCTTCTGGTCGATTACAACAGAACTACCTCCGGCCATGTTGGAGCAGTGTGTGTATTTGTGACGTAAAAACTGTTTTTATTTGCTGTTACTTTACTTATCGCGTGATGTTCCTAACTTATATTATCATCAGCTTATTTATCTGTTATCTTATTTGGGTGTTGCACTGCACACAGCCGCTATCTGGGTTCAGAAGTGGCCAATACCCTAATTTTCGACAAATTTTAAAGCGTGATTTTCTCACATTTTCTGGTTGTAAATTGATCAGACTGTATAAAATATCATCCAGAAAAAATATTACTCATTCTGGAACAGATTGGTGGGCTCCCAAAGTGCACCGTTTTGTTTTGCTCCGTGAGACCGAACTTGTGCTGCGATTTTCATGTAAATGTTGACGAGTCTCCTGTCATATTCTTTGCTTGAACATGCGTAAGTAAGATATCAGCCGAAAGGGGAAAATGTGCGGAATCCATTGGTAACAAAAGTGCATCTAAAAAACTTCCCACTCAGTTATTGTAAGCTAATTGTTGCACACTTGCACAAAGCAGAAGGGCTTGAGGATTTCAATATTTACATAGGCCTACCAAAAAACGCACAGCGTGCTTCACATCGAGACAACGTCCATAACATATACCATACAATTGTGATTCATTTGCTGAAAAAATTAGGTCGGCATCACACTGCCGGCAAAAGTTATTGCAGTTTTAGTGACGCTAGGTCGCCGCCCGGCCGATACCGATCAGGTCGGCCGGGCGGCGGCCGCGCAGCTGACGTCCGTGCGGTTCGGCAGCTGACCAATCAGCTGCGAGAGAGGAGCGCGGTCCGTCCAATCGCTCCCGGCGGTTGTTTGTGCTGAGGGGTGCTCGACGCTCGTGTCGATTGCATTTGTTGGTTGTCGATTGTCGATTGACTTGTGGGTATACTTTCTGGTGACCAATAAATGTACTCACGTCGTCTTAACTGAATGTACCTAGTCTGATCAAATTCAATAAAGCAAAAAGACACCCAGCCGACAGAACATTGTAAGAATGTCCGATATGGTTGATAACATTCAGAGTTTTGGGGAGCAGCCATCGACCAGAATGAACCTTATTGGCTTTTGTATGTAACATTTGCATTGCTTTTGGAAAGTTTCAGTCAGATATCTTCAGAAATGGCAATGTTATCGGCTTTTGCATTTTACCGTAGTCGGTTAATCACAATTTTCGATATTGCAAAGGCAATTTCAGTACGTTCTTGACATCGAAAACCAAAACGAATAGCATCATCGTGTTCCAGAGCTCAAATTGCATCCGATGCACATCTTTTTTTGTTGTTGAGAATGTTTAACTTCAAAATTTGGCCTTTCTGACCTCGCCGTGACCTGACCGTCATTTGTCGAATGGAAATAGTTTCGAATCGGACGACCCAGATGATATCATTTTTAGATGCTTTTGCCGAAATGGACCATTAAAGATGTGTCGCATGGCCTTAAAAATGTATACATTTCCTTCCATGACCTTTTCCATGACCTTTTGTGACCCATGACCTTTCCATGACCTTTTGTGACAAAGTTAGGTTTCGTTTGTCAGCTATTCCTATCAGAAGCCGTTTGAACGTTTAGTATTGAACGAGTAGTTTCGAAGACAGCAGGGAAGCTATGCAGAATCCCCTCCCGAGTCACCCACGTTATGGGATATACCCGTCATCCGCGGATTACAAGCAAAAATTTTTTTACGGTAATGATGTATCAGCATGGATGCTCATACGTTCCCATATGTGACCTTACGGTTGACTTCACATACAATAAAAATTGCTTGGCAAAATGTCAACTGGTTAACGAGTTATCGCATTTTGGCCACTTCCGAACTCAAATAGCGGCTGTGTGCACTGGTGCGGTGCACCCTGATTGATCTTGATTATAAGGCGATCCATGCTTGATTCTCTTTAGTTAATCAGATTCATTTCACGTTGCATTTCCACTCACACGACTTTTTTGTCATTTTACGACACCGTCTGACCGCCTGTTGATCTGTCCGTCCAGGCTTCGGATACGTGGAGACGATTCGTCTGAGGGAGTACCCGGAAATCAACATAGACGCCCGCTATTGCGCGCCGGACCCGCTCAACTTCAACTGCGTCAACAACGTGGGCGGCAACTTCACCTTCTACATCCCCGTGTCGCGCCACATGACCAACCAGATGCTGCACCTCGAGCTCTCGTGAGTGATCGGAGGGCCGTCAGAGGGCTGATTAGTGTCATAGGGAATATAGGATATTGGTTTTAGAATAGCAGGCTTAAGTTGAGTTTATTGGCGTTTATATCGGGATTATTGGATGATTAGCTCATTATGAGGCGGTGATAACGGTGGACATTTTTCAGCAGCATCCTGTTGTTTATTGTTGGCCTGCTCAGCTAGCGTGAAATGATGGGGCTTAGAGCTCACTATGATGGCATCATCTAAATCAATGGCCGACACGTACTGCAGCGAAATACCCGTCTGAAATCTTGTCTGTCGAGGCTAGCTGCCTGATTGCTTCGTCCACTTTCGAACATTTCCATTAAGCTTACAATATTTATCATGCCTCTGAATCCGCCAAGCTATGTTCCCACATCTAACCAGCGTCCCGTCCTGTCTGTTTGAATACTGGCACCTCTGTGCTCTCCGCTGAACCGGTTACCACGTCGCTCACCCATCCCCTCTTTCTGAGGTACGCTGACGTTTCACCCCTCCCCTCTCACAGTCTGTCTTAAAAAGTACCGCGCAAAGTAACGGTGGATCCATCAAGCCTGACCGAGGAAGGACTTCTAAATTTGAGTCACCTAAGCAATGGACATCCTCGTCCATTCCCCAATTTGTCAATTGGTTCGGTGACTTTCAAATTATAGCAGGCCCTCCTGTACCTCAGGTACGTGGACGTCTCACCCCTCCCCCTGTACCCCAGGTACGCGGAGCCTGTGGCGCCGGCGCCGGTCCAGTGCCGCAGTCAGCTACCGGCGCTACCCCAGGCCTGCGTGGGCCAGGCTCCCGGCGACCTGCGCCGGCGGCTCCAGCAGCCGCTGCGCAGTGGAAGCGTGGCTGGACAGCCCGTGTTCGTGGTACCTCTGGATGCCGGTCGCTGGCGGCAGAGGACGTACACCCTACGCATCGCCGCCAAGTACTTCCCCGACCTGGTGAGCTGAGTGAGGGGAAGGGGTTGACGGTAGGGGACTCGAGCAGACGTAGGGGTAGTTTGGAGCTTTGGTAGACGTAGTGTGTAGAGCCAGTCATAGTGTGCTAGTGTGCTAGTTGCAGTAGTTGGCCGATTTTTTAGCGTAACATGCATCTAAATTATCATCACTCTTTAGGCGCAGTATATACGACAGCTTTGACTTTCCTCTATTATTCGCTCTCATTCGGCTGATTTCATCAGCATTGCTGTTTCCTAGCAGCCTCTCTGCTCAGCGCCCTATTTGCTGCCAGATGACTATCGCTAGCTAGGCTGTCGCTAACAGTAGCGCTTGGTACCTGTTGCAGAACCCCTGTCGCGTCTCGAGCACATTCATCAAGTCACACTTCTTCGAGTACAACTTCATCTTCGAGCGTCAGTGCTCCGAGTAGACCACTAGAGGCGACGGTAGCGCCATCTGAAGCGACAGTAGCGCCATCTGAAGCCCCGCGCCGCGCGCCGACCTCCTACGGGTCGCCCTGACGCGCGCGCGGGCACACACACACTATACAGACAATTGTGGCGGCGAGAGACTGGAAGGCCTCTATATGACCTACGTGGGTCACTGAGCGCTGTTGCGCCCGCCGGCCGCAGCAGGAGCTCGGGCCTCGTCCGAGAGAACGACGCCGGCCGCGGAGAGTGTAAATAATATCGGGTGGAACTGTGAGTGTCTGAGTGAGCGTATGGAGCCGGAATCGCACCCGGCAAGAAGTGTACCTTATTGGGAACGAAGCAATATTTATTCTTAAAGTAGGGATAAAGTGTACAAGCAATAATGACAGACGGCCCGGGCCCAGCCGCACGCGGCGCTGGGCCGCGTGTGGCCGAGAGCGACTCGCCGTACCCTGCCGGAGGGTGGGTTTGCGAGCGATGGGTCCGAGTGGCGGGGACGCTCGGAAATCCGCCGTTAGATGTCGTGCCGAGCTCGGCGGAGGCATGCTGAGGGCCCGCCCGTGCCTCGGGCCGGTCGAGTCGAGTGTTTGGTGATATGTGGATGTCTGGTGGTGCCCTGTGTATGAATCGACGACTCTGTGTACTTGTTGATGTGTCCGTGTCGAGAGCGGCGGGCGGCTGGGTGGGCAGAGGGGCTCGTGGGACCCGTCGCGGCGGCCGCCCATTCACTGTCGGTAGTCACCCATTCTTGAGGCCTTCATCTCGTGCCTGTATTTCCACGGTGCCTGTAATTCCACGGTGCCTCACGTCTGCTCCGTCCCATAGATGATTCCGGTACGTTCAGACAATGCCGTTACTTTGTTGCCATAGTCATCGTGTGCCATGCGACTCGCGGCCGGCCGACGCGCAGCGCCACCTATGTGCTGTTGTAGGTGGCGCTGCGGTGTCACTTCTGTCCATTACAGGTGGCGCCCATGTCGTGTTGCCGGCTGTTGTAAATAGTCCCGATAGCAGAGGAGCCCGAGTGCCGGTACGAACGAGCCAACACTGCTCGCGTGATGCCAGCACTACTCTTTGACCGGGCTCTTGTGCCGAGTGGCCATCTGCGTGGCGTTTGTTAACATTCCACTTCAAATTTATTGAAGACAGATCCTATAATTACAAATTGAGACATTCTCCAATGGACTGCATATTATACAAAATCACTTATTTTTAGCCGCTTTTCGGCCCGTCGTTGTTTTGCTGGTGTTATCAATTTTAAGGGACTTAAAATGATCTCATGGCAATAGAGATTTGGTGATTGTTGTGTTTTAAACTTAGCGTTGCCCATGTGTGTGCTTGTAGTTGCGACTTTAGTCCATGTGTGTGATATATTTTAGGCATTTTAGGAGGAAAGATACGCAGCACGAGCGCCGCTCAGCTCTTCTTGTAGGATATTCTTCTGCTTACATGGATACATTATCTCCATAGAGCTCTGAGAGTAGATCGGATCTGAACATTAGCTGTATAAGTGGTCGGGCTACGTCGGGTTGATTAATACTTTGTAGTCAACTACATGTCTGCGCTTAAAATAAAACGATCAAATACTTCGCTGGTGTTAAATGGCGTTTGAGACCCATGGACGTGGTATGCACGGTATGCACTGTGCTGAGTGTGCAGGCTCTATTCGACCTTTCCACGATATAGCTGGTAGGCTGAGATCTTTTTTCAGTTCACACAGATGTGATCGAGATTTGGCCGTAATTTTGTAATTGAGAGCATTTGTTGATGATGGGTAGTATTGATTGAAAACTTGAAGCAGCTGTGTCCATAAAAATATTAACACTGAGTGTTTTTATTACTAAGCGAGACCAGGACAACCAGGCAACCAGGACCCCGTTTCACGGTTCGGTAGGTTCTAGCTCTGCGAACATGTTCGCTTTCTTTTGAAACTTCAACAAACTGGAACACTAACTATGCACTTTGTTGATGTTTCCACGGAAAACGAAAGTGTTAGTAGCGCTATTTTCGTAGCTCTTTTTTAAACACCTACTAACAGCGGGCTGTGAAACAGAGCTCGGAAGCCGGTGGTGGCCAGACGATCCGCCAGACATGAGGTCTTACCTGACCTGACCTTGACCAGCGCCCGGGCAAGGTCAGGACGGCGCGTGTCTGCTTAGCAACAGATGGACACTGAGGTAGAGGAAGGTCAAGGCGCGGAGTGCAGTGCGTGGGACTGGCTGTGACGCTGAATGACACGCATTGCTACAAGGAAAGGACGAACAGTCAGTGTTTAGCTGTGGGCGGGATGATTGGCTGTTAGTCGGTCAGTTAGGACTTAGGAATGAGGACGGTGATTGCTGAGAGTGAGAGTGACATTATGGGATGGTATGAAGTGCTTGTTTGTCGCCAGGACCTGAGGATGCAAACACCGTGCAGCTATGAAGCGCTGGACAGCGAGCGTCCCTGAATGGATTCGAGTTAGCCGGTCTGGGGACATGACTTCGGTGTTGTCCGAATCAGCACTTTTGGTAAGTACACATGAAGTGCGTTTTTTTTTGTGTAATCAATCGATGTCTTGTATACCTATTTGCATACCCAATTACCGAAAGTGTTATTTATCTACGGATAATTTACACTTGTGAAAGTTACGTCGAAGTTACCAATACCTTCGCTCCGAATGGCATGCAGATAACCCATGCAATCTAGATGACTCCCGTCTCTGATTAGGTAGGTACTAGGTATCGTTTCTGTCTCATTTCCCAGCGCTCGTTCATGTACTCTGTTATTCGTGTTGGTCGTCCCGTCATGATACTACGTCCTACCAAGCTCCTTTAGCGCTGCCTGCCCAAGCTTTCTGTTTTTCCTCCAACACCTCCATCGTAAAAAGCACATTTGATGATAAATTTCATGTATTATCACAGTTTGGGGCTTACATTAGCACCAATAAATGTTAGTTAGCTCCGGTCATCTGTAAGCAGTCAGCTGCACGGCTGCGATCGGTTCATGAAAGCCCACATACACCAATGTCTCGGAGCTGGTCGCCGCTGTGCGCGCGGCGGCAGCTCCGGCAGCCCCGGCCTCCCCGGCCGCGCCGGCCCCCGGCTGGGCCGTCGGGGCCGGCGCTGGCCGCCTCCGTCGGCGAAAGACTGCCCCTGTTCCGGGCGAGTGCAGCAGACCGGTACACTGGATTGGTCTGGCCATGTGAGAGCGCGCGGCCGCGCGGCGCAGCTAGGCTGGCCGCCGGTCGGCTCAGGTCCGCTCGGGGAAGGACTGTCTCCTCGCTCAGCTGGAGGGACATGTCTCCCCGCTCAGTTGGAGAAGGACGTCTCCTGGCCGTGGTACGCGTAGTGAATGCTCTCTAGCTTGGCTAGGAGCACGGGGTCGGTAGCCGCGGCGGCTCGGCGCACCGCCGGCCAATGTCGCGTCACATAGGTGAACAGCTCCTGCGCGGCCACCGGCGTGCACAACATGGCCGCGTGCCGACCGCTGAGGTGCTGCAGCAGGCCGCTCATCTCCTGGTCGGACACCGCAGGCTCCAGCTGCACGTCACTGAAAAACTTGGCCGCCGCCGCGCGGTAGCGCTCCATGTCTTTGACGAAGAGCAGCCGCTCGGCGCTGAGGTCGCGGTGCGGACCCGGCCCCTCCGGCAACAGCGCCTCAACAAACGTGTCGGCCACCACCGCCACGGACGCGTCGAACGACTGAGAGCGTCGCACGTCGTACACGGTCCACGGGTGGCGCAGCAGGGCCGCCCACACCCGCACGCCGTACACGCCGGCCTTCCAGGCGCGGCTCTGCGCCACGTCTGCCGCCGTGCGCCGCGCCGGCTGGCCGTCCGGCTCGGGAGGAGGGGGAGCGTCCAGCAGCGAGAACAACCACCGCACCGGCGCCGGCAGGTGGCGGGCGCTCAGCAGGGCAGAGAAGAGGTCCTCAATGTACTTGTGCACCGTTCCTGCAACAGAGAGAGGGTATCTTTGAGCTCGGGTGGGCTCAGGTAAGCTGACAGCACGTGGTCTTCTGTGAAAAGGTGTCGATATTCACAATTGGCAATCACATCCGGTTCGAAATGGGCGTAAACTGCTCGACCAGCACGCCATATGACACATTTAGAAACAGTGACAATATGACCACTGAAAGGCCTCGGTAATCAAGCATCATTACATTTGACAGCCAATTGCATGAGACACTTGCTCAAGGTAACATGGCCATATTATGGAAAGAGTAATTACGCAGTAACGTTTGACATCAAACTAGTATTCCATGATGGGTCCCGCAGTCGAATGATGAAGCGATAGTTTGTCCGTCAGTCACATGCCTGGGCCGAAGTCCATTCAAATAGGTGGGCGGCCATGCAAACGGGAATGTGTATTCCATCATACGATTGAACGTCTTTGCATAGCATCCGTCCAAGCACAATGTGGCCAGCGAGACGGTTTCAGATGGGAACAATATGCCCGGCTCGACAGTGACATGTTCATTCGTACAGGCTGACAGCGTCCAAGGCTAGCCACCGGCTGCATGTCGACAGCACATCATGTATTCCTACTGTGTGCTAAACAGCCGCCCACGAAATGCTAGGAAGTCACAATAGAAAGGGCAAACCTGGTTCGGCCGCATGACATCATTCGATGAAAATCGACTGCGCCTACTGGCAACGACACGGCCGATTCATTAACGGCCTGCAACTGACTGGCTTGAGTTGCTGGTTGGCTGGTGGGCAAGTGACAGCAACTGGCTGACAACTGCGTCCCGGCTCCATCCGCTGGGCCGATAGCTATTTGTAAGGATTTTCTCGGCAAAACACGGGCTTCGTTAGTGGTCTACCTCTTGTTGATTCCAATCATTCCGCTCGTATATTTCGGACTGCTAATCCCCGTCATACATCGTTCGCCCAAACGCTTGGTGGTCCGTACAATGCCTTCACTCTGGCTATTGACGATTTAGGCATGACGGGGACCACATTAAGTGTCGTGTCTTTTTTTGCATCTGCCTACGTTTCTGCCTTGCGTGACTGTACTTCTGTCGCTGTCTCTGTCTATGTCTTTCCTATTCGTCTGTCTACCCGTCTTCCTCTGTCTGTTTTTTTCTTTTTCTCTTTCTCTCTCTCTCTCTCTCTCTCTCTCTCTCTCTCTCTCCCCTCTCCCTTTCCCTCTTCCTTCCCTCTCCTACCTTTGGTGGAAATGAGTCGCGTCAGGTAGATCTCCGGGATGGGCTGTTTGAGCTCGTCCTTCTTGGTGGTGCCTGCTGAGGCCGACCGGCTCAGGTGGTAGATCTGCGCCGGCTGTGGCTCGCAGCCGCTGCTCGCGCCACTCGCGTACCCCGCCGACGAGCTGGGCAGCGTCAGCTCCGGCGTGGCGTAAATGTGCGTCACCGCTGTAATACCGCGAGTAGGGCAGGTCAGGTCACAGGTCACAGGTCACTTGTGGTCGCCCCATTCCATGTAGGGGCGACGGCACGGCCTATCTATAACGGCACGCCTACAAGCGAGATTTTATTGCATGAGCACGCATTACAGAGATAACTTAACACTAATAGATACATCGAACATATATCTATAAATGCCGGCAACTTACTATTGCTTTGCAATAAAAAAGACACCGGCTCATGAATCGTTTGATATGCAGTTACGGCATCTGATAATTGACTGATTAGGACTGCATACTTTTTGCAAAACAAGTGTTTATTAATAGCTGCGATGTCTTTGTGCGTTTCTATAAATCCATCATTAGCGAGTTTGCGGTGGTTTCTGACGATGTGAGATGCCGTCCTTCGTCTCTCAGTTGTCGGCTTCTTTGTGAGACGAGATCAGATGGCGGCCCGGGTATAAGCCCTCCGTTATTTTCAGTCCTCGCTCCGTGTTGTGCCGTTTCGCTGTGACGCATGAATGGGAATTATGAGCCTCGCCAAAGCACGGATTCCATGCTACGTGAAATAAATGCAACTCGTGCATAAAATGTAACTAGGAAAACCAGGCGGCCCGACGCTGCGGATTGCGGGTAAGCAGATTCCGTCCCTCGCCGCTGTCACAACATTTCATACCGGCGTCTGTCACGGATGTGGGTTACAGGGCCGGTACCAGGATAAAGCCCCAGTTCTGGGACGTTGCATGATAGTGTCACTCCGATCCACTCACGACGCCGAAAATCTCGGACGGCATGGGACGCAGACGAGAGAGGAATTAACGTGGTCCGTGCCGTGGGACGGGTCAACCGGGATCACTCCGATATGTGGCGCACTATCAGTCGTGCGGCGCATGAACCGTCAACAGGGACAGGAAAAAGAACTGCGCCAGCACTGACAGGTAAAAAACTGCGCCCAGCGGATAGGACGAGAAAAATGATTATGCTCAACTGATGACTCACATAGCCGGCTAAAGCCAGTTTTCATACAAATGTGCATCGTACATGTTCAGTTTCTTCTCGATACGCATCTGTGAGCACATGTCTCCCTATTGGTTGGAAGGATTGGTCCACCCAATTAAGCAGTAACCACTGACCGTGTTCTGAGATCAAGTGACGAATCACTACCAGTCAATACTCTCAGCCATATGCCTTGGCCCATATACCGCCATCACGTGACCCGCGCCTGCGGCCACTCACAGATTCTATGGAGTCCTATCGGTCACTCACGGCTGCTGTATGGCTCCTATAATCTACTCACGGCTGCTGTAGGACACCGAGTAGTTGGTGTGGTGTTAGCCACTTACGACTGCTGTATGGCTCCTATAATCTACTCACGGTTGCTGTACGGCTCCGAGTAGTTGGTGTACTCGTCGCTGTGACGCGCCACCAGCGCCAGCCTCGCCGTCTCCTCCAGGCCGTAGTGGGAGAGGGTGTTGACGCGCCTCCAGCCGTGCAGCGTCACAGAACTGAGGTCCGTGTCGGAGAGCGTCAGACGACCGCCGCGGCCGTTCAGCCACTCTGCCGGAGGGGGACGGGTCACGGAGGTCAGGTCAGAGGGTTAGATACGATCACGGGTCACAGGACAGAGTCAGACGACCGCCGCGACCGTTCAGCCATTCTGCCGGTAGACGGGGTCACAGGTCAAAGGTCAGGTCAGCGACTAGCAACCACGGGTCACAGGACCCACAAGGCAGCGTCAGACGACCGCCGCGGCCGTTCAGCCACTCTGAGAGAGGGGAACGGAGGTCACTGGTCAGAGAGTTAGATACGGTCACGGGTCACAGGACAGAGTCAGACGACCGCCGCGGCCGTTCAGCCACTCTGAGGGAGGGGAACAGAGGTCAGGTCAGAGAGTTAGATACGGTCACGGGTCACAGGACAGAGTCAGACGACCGCCGCGACCGTTCAGCCACTCTGCCGGAGGCACAGGGGTCACGAGTCGGCTCAGAGGTCAGGTCAAAGGCCAGGTCAGTGACAACGGGTCGCGGGACAGCGTCAGATTGGCGTCGTGACCGTTCAGCCACTCTGCCGGAGGGGAAACGAAGGTCAGGTCAAAGGTCAAGTCAGGTCAGCTACCACAGGTCACAGTGCAGCGTCAGACGACCGCCGCGACCGTTCAGCCACTCTGTCGGAGGGGGAACGAAGGTCAGGTCAAAGGTCAGGTCAGCGACTACAGGTCACAGGACTGGGGACGCAGTCTCAGGTCAGGTCAGAGGCCTAAGGTGACTGATGACCTGGTCGGCTGCGGCAGACGACTGTCACTCAGGAGTAGTGATGTCAATTACAGAAAATCGGAATACCGATACCAAACCAAATACCAACCAAAACCGTGGGGAAATACCGAAACCGAACCAACTTTGAAAGATGAGAGAAATACCAACTTTTTACCAATTTCTTAGCCTCTTATACATTAGTAAGGGTTCATAATACCAAAAAAAAAAACAAACACATTAGGATTGAAATACCAAATACCAAGTTGGTATCGGTTTGGTATCGGTATACCAAAAGGTTGGTATCCGATTGACATCTCTACTCAGGAGCATTAATTCAGTCGGGAACGTTACATGGTTTATGGTGATGGACTGCAATTTCGCAAACAGCTCTAAGCTCGCTAGTTCACATACCGAAGCATCATTTATCTGCAAGCATCCGATACATGAGGTTCTGAATGCCGTTTTGTCTTAATTTCTTACATAGGTATAGCTCAGATTGATATTGAATTTCACCCATATGCCCACTGCACATTCTGCGAAGTACAAAGCAGTGCCATGATGACAACATCGATAGGAGGGAGGCGTTTCCTTTACATTAGGCATGCATCGATCCAGCTATCGCCCTGCCGATCGGGCGGCTGGCTGCAGCCGAGTCCGAAATAGGCCGTCTCTGGTATCGTCCCGGCGCAAATCCCGGTATCCTATGCCGGAGCTGGATTCCAGGGAAGTAAAATAGCAAGGCTGACGCAAGGTGTCTCCAAGAGTGGGTGATAATAGGCCTGTTCACTGGCGGGCATCCCATATGCCGGCAGGGATCACCAATTCACTTCGGTGTTCACAGAGGAAAATCAGCCAATCGTGCCGTCCCGGTTGACCCCTACTTCAGTAGCATTTTTACCACATTCACCAGGGCATTTTCATATGTGATACGATCAGAGTACCACAGACCGGCACAGTGAGCACTGAGCATTGTGCAATGTGCAGGCGAGTTGGCGAATTCCCCACTCGGGACGGCAATGGCAGACGCGATGTTATTTGCGAGCGTCCCCGGCCGTAAATAATAGATGAGACAGTGCGGTCAGCAGCCGTGGTCAGTGAAACATGGCAGACCCTCGCTGGCCGGCGTTTTTTCGGGCCCGATTCGGAATCCGACATCGTCATTTCGACTGCTGCACCGTAAACTCACAGCGCGCGAACACGGTAAAGTCGCCGGCAAAATATGATTCATTTGCTGAGAGATGAGGTTGCCGGCTGTCTTCGTGGCTGCACTGCTCGTTGACATGACTGATATCGGGAAGATCGGCAGATATGGGTCATTACGGCTGTCAAAGATGGATTCTGAGACGTCAGCCGTGGACTGGGAATTACCCCGAATGCTACCGAGATTGTCCAATGCGGTCAGATTTGGGTCAGTGTAATTAAGGGACAGTCGGTGGTTATTGGGCACAGAGCGTCCAGAAAGAGTGGATCGTAGAAGGTCCGATTTACCGTAGCGGCGCGTGAGGTTTGTAGTTATTCAAAATAAATGCGTTGAGGTAACCATTGAATGAGTTTAATGAATCATTTAATTTTCGTGATTTTCCGGGTACCGACAACTAAATTTATTTAAAAATCAAATATGCGTTTATTTCTGAAGTGGGTACGGGAATGCTTTTGCGATAAGAGCATGCCATCTGATTTGTCAATAGGCCCTGGAGCAGCTACTGATGCTCCAAACATCAGCAGCTGGGGCACCCTAGCCTAAGAATCTAAGATCGGACACTCAGATATTCCTAATCATCACCAACAAATATACTCACGATAAATGAATGAACCGAGAGACCATGAGCTATTTTTCATCCGTTCAAAATCACGCTGCGCCTTGCGATAAGGACTCGCACCACTGCACTGTGGGGCGGCGGGTATTTAGAGTCTGGTCGTCACTCACCCAGGTCGAAGTCCTGCGGGTATTTAGAGTCTGGCCGTCACTCACCCAGGTCGAAGTCCTACGGGTATTTACATAGAGTCTGTTCTTCACTCACCCAGGTCGAAGTCCTGCGGGTATTTAGAGTCTGTTCTTCACTCACCCAGGTCGAAGTCCTGCGGGTATTTAGAGTCTGGCCGTCACTCACCCAGGTCGAAGTCCTGCGGGTACCTATTTAGAGTCGGGTATTTAGTCTGTCGTCACTCACCCAGGTCGAAGTCCTGCGGCGCCGGCTTGTGTGAGTCGGCGCTGCTGGAGAAAATCCGGTCGATAATCTTCTGCTTCACCTGGCTTATGGTGTCGCACGAAAGAGCGGCGCACGTCAAAGTAGAGGGGTTGGAATTGAGCGACGCATGCACCACCTGTGGACAGGGAGAGGGAAAGACACTCAGACACTCAAAACGGGCACTCAGGCACTCAGAAAGAGGACTTGTGCAATTAGAACGAACACTTAAGTATTTAAAACACGGTGATCGATTCGCGAAACGGATATTCAAACTCAGAACAATGCAGTCGTCTGCTAAACTCGCATGCTGATTCACTAAGCCTTCACATCAGTCGCCAAGATGTTGCTATATTCGCTCACTTTTTGAGGCTCTGAGTCATGGGCCCATCTTTCAAACGCGGCCTGCGCTGTAGCGTTTCTCAGCGGATGGTGCGGCCGTCACGAGAGATGGACGACGACTGCCACTCAGCACTGGCCAATGTACGGAAATCCCGACTGCATTATCATGTCATACGGGCCATTCTGCTGTCAGACACTGCAGCCTTTAAAATACAAGGGAAGGCGAGCATCAATTAGGAGATATGGCGAACTGGATGAATTAATTTTATTGCCCGCCTCTGACTATATGTCGAAATGATTTGGTGGATAAATGAACTCATGTCTATCGAAGTTCTCACGATACTTTGACGCGGCTGCTGGAAGAAACTCGAAAACAACATCAACCGGGGAATATTCGAAAACAACAACCAACGACATAGGCAAGCCGTGAGCTTGTTGATAACTCTCACTTTCATGAAATTCGTGTCGTCTGCAGTGTATACCAGTCCCACTAAAGCTGAGACATGACCACACGACATTTCTTCCACTGCATCAACACAGCCACATGCCACTCATGCATCTTTCACTCGGCATTCCACAAATTCACCAGACATTCACAGCACCGCGCCCGGTAGCGTCATTCCAGGCACGGACGGGCTTCGAAATCGAGCCACTCCCCGTCTGTCGTCTTGTTGTCACTGCGGCGGCGCCGATCTCAGCTCCTCCCATGACATTTTTAAACGCTCGCTACTTCGTACTCCACCTTCTCAGAGACATTGGTTGGCAGTGGAGGCACTCAGTGTCCTGAGAGCACCCACGGGTCACGTCATGGGTAGTCGTTGGTTGTCAGCGGCGACTCTCGATGTCCTGAGAGCACCCACGGGTCACGGCTAACGGCGGGCGGCTGAGACCGGTCACGACAGGACCCCGGCCGGCCGGCGGTCCGTCAGCGGACATGGACGCCCTCGCGAGCCGCGCTCGGCCCGCCTCATCAGCATTCCCGGCACGGAGAGATCGCTCTTATTTCCTGCCGTCATCCATTGCGAATGCAGACAGCAACGATGGAGCAGCGGCATAAGAGCGGTTAGACGTTTCTTTAAAGTCGTACGTTAGATTATGCAATCAAGCGGCGGTCGCCGAATGCTGCAGCCGGATTTATCAGTGGTATCGTATAAAACGGCACCATTCCAATGACAATTACACATTAAATCGTCCGGGGTATAGAGACAGTACAGCGAAGTGCATCGTAATGCACGCTTGTCTCATGGCGCGTGTCAACATGAAAACTTAACGATTCTCGGTGCTCGAACGCCGCCGATTTCTGCGAATGGCAGTTGGTCCGCCTTTGGAGAGCGCCATGGTGGCCGAACCTCCCACAGTGATGGTCTAAATCGACCATAACCGCAGCGCGCCGCCCCCTGGTGAGCCTTAGACGAGTGCAGGCTCCCCTCGGATCGGCCATCTTCCCTTCTCTGCCTCTGCTCTCGCTAGGGTCGCTCTCCCCTCCAGCGCGCTTTTACCACCCTCTTGATTGGAAATCATTACTATCGCCTGCCACCAACAGCCGTTTTTTTCTTCTGCTAACCACCTCCTGTCGCCTTTTCTCTGACCACAGTCCACAGCTTAAGTAATCATGCCCCTTATTGCCCAGAATTACCTCATCTCACGAGCAGCCCTCTCCCCACTCTCACTTCTCCCTCACCTCACCCCTTTCCCCTCCTCCCGTTCGCTTCACTCTTCCTCACCCTTACCCTTACCTCCTCCCACCGCTTCTCTCTTACCCCCTCTCGCTCTTTCTGTCCCTCTCCCTTCCCTCTCCACTCATCCTTACCCTCCTCCCACCGCATCCCTCCCCCTCCACTCACCACCGTTTTGTAGTCGACCTGTTCCTTGAGCAGCGTACTCTCTGCCAGCGAGTAGCGCGCCGCGCCGGTCAGCGCATCGACCGGCCCACGTTCCGTGAGCCGGTGCAGCGCGCGCACCAGCAGCAGCAGCCGGCCGGCCGGGCCGCCCTCGCGCAGCTCCTCGTACAGGCACACCGACAGCCAGCAGTCAGCAGACGCTCCAGCAGCGTCGTGTCCGAGCGGCGCGTCAGCGTGCGCGCGTGGCCGGCCGGCCGCGCAGCAGCAGGCCAGCCACGATCGACGTCAGGTACTCCATGCGCGGTAGCAGCACGGCCGTCAACAGCGAGGCCACGCTGACGCTGAGGGAGGGGAGGGGTCGTCAGAGGGGAAGATGGTGCGGCTATGTGATAACGCAGGTCACTGGTGCCTGGTGGCAGGGTTGGACTGCTTTAGGCAGAAAGCGCATAAACTTGCGAGAAAGCATAGAGGTGCTCGATAAGATTTTCCCCCCTCAGCCAACAAGAAAAGTGAAGAAAGCAAGAGAAGCGAGAAAAAGAGGAGAGAGAGAGAGAGAGAGAGAGAGAGAGAGAGAGAGAGAGAGAGAGAGAGAGAGAGGAGAGAGAGAGAGAGAGAGAGAGAGAGAGAGAGAGAGAGAAGAGAGAGAAGTAGAGAGAGACAGAGACGAGACAGACAGAGACAGAGACAGAGACAGAGACAGAGCAGAGACAGAGACAGAGACAGAGACAGAGACAGAGACAGAGACAGAGACAGAGACGAGAGAGAGAGAGAGAGAGGAGAAGAGAGAGAAGAGAGAGAGAGAGAGAGAGATAGAGAAAGAGAGAGAGAGAGGGAAGAGAGGAAGTAAGATCCAAATGCACAGCGGTCACCGTCCGAGGAGACCGTGTTGCAGCCGATAATGAGGGGAGGGGCGGACATATGCTGCGGTCAAATGCTGTCGCTGTCGCTACTGAATGAGGTGACGGCGCAGCAGGTGTTGGCGGTCGCCGGACACGGAAAGGCCTGCTGCCTCGGCCACGGCCATTGAGCCGCTAACGGTTCCTGCATTGCTAGTGCGCTTAAAAGCCCTCATGAAATTGTACAGTTCTTGGTATAAATGTCATCGCTCAAGGCATTCAACAGGTATAAATGTCACTATATGGAGAGTCAACAGATCCGGGATGAAGAACACTGATGCCGCCAGGCCAGATTATGTATGGTCAACAACCTCGGCTCTGCTGGCGTACGACCCGGCTCCGCAGAGTGCCCAGGTGATTGAGAAGCACTTGTCCGCACAGCGATCCGGCTAAGTCGGCAAAACTGCCGGCGATTGTCACCTTTGTCGATGGCCGGCCGGCCGAGCGGGATTCAACGGTGATAAAACGGCGCCGGGCATGAAATGAAGCAATCATTTATCGACAGACGACACTCGGCGACCGCAGCCGGCGCAAAAACGGCCGCCGATCAGACATGTCCGACACATTTTCCGAGCAGCCATCGTCACGTCGATCGGTGGCCGGCGCTGCCGCCGCCCGCTGTAATCTGCCCCTCCGCGGGCTGGTGGAGCACGCCCGGCTCCAGCCCAATGTCTAGCGCCGGCCGTCCGCACCAGTCCTGTCTCTGCACAGCCGAGAGACTCCGCGCCCCAACAGCGCGACTCAGGAACGGGTCGGACCGGGTCGGCCACGACATTTTTTGGTCGTTTCGTGCCTCGTCCGTTGCACCGGCGAGGGCGCCACGGCCCGGGCGCGGCGGCTCTCCGACGGGGGGGGGGGGGGCTCTCCGGGCGACTCTCCGGGCGGCCGGCAGCGGCGGCTGCATCAGTGCGCCGAACACAGGGCTGCACTCAGATCGACATTGATGATACCCGTATCTGATGCGATGCGACATAATCGCCGAGAGACCGGCCGGCCGGGCGCGCGGCGCTTTCCGGCTCCGCAGTAAGCCCGTCTCTCTCTCTCCCCGTCTATTCTGCGGCCGGGCCTGCCGGATGCAGGAATGTGTCAGCTGAGACGGCCGCATTAACCACAGCCGGGGCTGAGCCGAGCCGCCGCGGCTGACGGCTGCAGCTGGTGACGTGCGCTGCAGCTCAGCCACAGCCGGTCAGACGGGGGCTGTCTGATGGACCCACGGCGGGCGACCGAGCCCAGACCAGACCTTCGGCCAGTCTGCTGACAGCTGGAGTGGTCAGGACACGGTCCGGAGTGTAGGACCCTAGACACCACTGGGTGTATTTTTGGACTTTGGCTGCATTGCGGTTCGCGGTCTCACCTCAGACACCTGGGTGGTCCAGTGTCGACCACTGCTCAGCATCTAACACCACCGCAGCGGGCAGAAATTTATGATCGTATTGACGCGACGCAATGCTGCACTCGAGTGAAAGTGACGGGTTTCTGGTAAAAATGCGGACGTTAAGTATTTTTAGCGCTATTACGAGCTTGCATGGCCTGTGAATCTCAGACATTATTTCTAATAATGGTGTTGAACTGCCAACGTGAAGGCCGATGGCAGACATGAACAGTTTGATTAATCGCCGGGTCTTCACAAATTCATTAACAGCTCGGACTTAAAAATGTCCAAGTTAAGCCATAATTCCGGCGTTATCATCGCTGTGAAGTGGCTACCAGTCACCATGGATATAGAGATATATCCGTTATGACCAACTAATCACCGCAGATTATGCAGCCTGACGCTCGGAGGTGAGATTGGCAGCAGAGCTCTCTCACGACGGTCCGTCTCGGCGGCTACTGGGCGAGCCGGGCCGTCTGCGACACGCCGCGTGTAATTGTCACAAAAACAGCCGGCTTAGCTGTCCAGACACCAATTAGGGAGAATGTGACAAGCCGACATGACAAATATGCCCGGTGGATTGGAGTGACTGATTGGCTGTGCAGCGGCGCGGCGGTCGGCGGTCGGCGCTGGGTCCGCGGTGGGGCCGGCGCCGGCCGGGCTGCTCCGCGCGGCCGGCCGGGAGAGGAAGGTCTGCAGAGGGGTGCTGAGCTGTTCAGACCCCCCCCCCCCCTCCGCCTCCGCCTCCGCCTACCCCACGCTGCGCCTGCTCCACATCACAGGTGACAGCATGTCGAGCCTGGTAATTACCGGCTCCAGGACCCCTAATGAGCCCACTGTTCAAGGCCAGATGCCGCGGCACGTCCGCTCAAACAAGATGTGCATTCTTTGCAAAAAGACTGCCTTCTGGACAAAGGTCTTATCTTTAGAATGACGTCTTGAATGGCGGATACAATCTCCAATGCTCAAAAATGCCATTTTAGTGTACATTATCTTAGTAATTAGCCATGTATCGTGCAACGTCAATTTTATTATCAAGCGTCGATTGAACAATTTCGGGATTAAACATGCATAATCGGCCATAAACCACGTCTGATTAACTGATGCGCTTGTTATGTATGTATCTTCTGCTGGCTGTATTTTTGATAAATTGCTTTCACGGATAGGTATATTTTTATGTTCTTTTACTGATTGGTCAGTATTCTTCTAATCAAGGGTTCGGTAACAACTTAACCTTTCACAAAGATTGTAAACATTGTTAGCTGGTAGGTATACAGCCGCACGAAGCCAACCAATAATTGTTTTGTCTCTGTATATCTTGCTGAATTGGTCCCATTGTTTCACATGGACACCGTAGGAACTACGGGTGTTCCGATTTCAGCTCTTACTTGTGATCGAGCCTTGGTGTTTGGAAAAATGATGAACCAGACCCAGGGGCAGGAGCCAATAGTCGCACTCGAGAACACCCGACGCTAAGACCATGTCAACGGTTGATCGGGAATCTGGCTCGAGACCGTGTCGACCAGAAGTCTACTCAGTACCTAATCTGACTTGGGGCCGTGTCTGTTCAGGGATCTGGTTCAGGACTATCCGTTGCGTCTAGCCATGGAGGGTGAAGTGGCAGCCGAAGCTGTCAGTGACGTCTCTCCACGCCCCCTCGCCATGTTTAATCAGACCATGTCATTAGGGGAAGCCGCCGCCCGCGCCACGTCTCGCCGCGCTGCGCCGGATTCGCCGTGACGTCGCACATAGCTGCCATCGTAATTGGAGGCTGGCAGAATATAATGGCCCGTACTTAGACTAATAGATACCAGCTCGCCGCGCGGCCTAAGTGAGACTGAACGATGACCGAGGCTGCTGCAGCCGGCATGGCCCGGTCACCCCTCCCGACCGGCATGGAAGACCGCCGTCTGGCCGCGCGGGAAGCGGTCACCGATCAACGGTCACAGACTGCTGTCTTGAGATGGTTGGTCACCGGTCAATGGTGAGACTGCTACATGTTAGGGGCTGGTCACCGGTCAATGTTGAACGGTCACAGACTGTTGTCTGCAGAGGGCTGTCACCGGCCACAGGTGCAGTGTGGTGCCTCCAACTCTAACTCGAGTGTGGGCCGGCCCAGTCCGTGGAGGTCTGTTCAGACCGAGCCGGTGGACGGGAGGAGGTAGCCGCGGCCGGCATTCAGCTGTCACTGCTGAGCAGCTGCCCGGAGCCGCCTGGTGCTGCCCGAAGCCGCCTGCTGTTGCCCGCAGCCGCGGCTGTGTGAGGCGGCGCACACTGGTCGGAAACGCCCTCACGAGAGGCCACGGGCGATTCCGGAGTTTCGGATTATTTTTTATATAGATCGATTTGAAATTGATCAAATTATTATCCGTAGGCCAAAAAAACTAATCCGGGTGACCAAAAATAACTGTAATCAGCCCCCGAAGATGGGGTATCCCAGAACTCGGAAACTGACGCGGAGCAAGAGGTTTATTGAGCCGGATATTCAGAGTCCTATTGCTGATAGACACCAAATTGAAATTCCACATATTATGCATCAAAATGTTCGCTATGAAGTTGCCGACTGGTCAGTGCAAAATTTTTGGCATACTAAATCCCTAACTAAGATGTACTATAGCTTTTTTATGAAGGCTCTCCTACAGTGATTCTGGAATATAACTGCAAAGTTTAGGTAAGGAAACAACAGGTAGTCCCATCTAGTTCCACTCTGATTTTTTGTGAGATGAAGTAGGATTTAAATTTACACCAGGGCAACATAAAAGCTAACTGCGCATATTTGCGCAAAATTTGTAGGAGCCGCTCTTCCTACCCAACTACCGCCCGCCCGCGCCCTAGTTTCGGCTCGGCCGCCGCGCCCGGCTTACGCTGACCTGTGTGGCCTGCACGCATCCATGCGTAGTTGACTGGTCATTAAAAACAGATGCGCTTGAGTTTATGAATTTTGTGAAAAGCGCGTTTTATGTATGCATTTATGTATGTATTGACATCAAAAGCCTTCCACATATTGCGTGGCGATTACGGCTTGCATTTAGAGAGCCTTGCTATTGACAACTATCACTCGGCTGAAGAAAGTGGAAATTGAAACCTTCGTGAATATAAGACGCTACAAATATAGGACCCCTGTCACTGACGTCGGGTTACCTTGGGCCGTCTTTTTACATTAGAGCACAATTCCGGTATTTAACCCTGGCCGGACCGATTGGTTTTCTATATTGACCGGGGAGGGTTGGTACAACTCCCTCGCCGTTTCGCCTCTAATTGAGCTAGAGCCTCGCGGAAAAAACAAGCTTGTGTGCCGTTATAAGACGCAAAATTAGGTACTACCCGATTTTAAGGTCTTAGGTCAGCCAGTGACCTCTTAGGTCAGGTAAGTGCCACAAGGCACGGGCTCGGTTTTAGGTTAAAGGGACCCTCCCACCTTCAAAAAAGTTTATGAATTGGCATGAAAGTGATGTCGCTCGGTTCAGAAAGAGCGAAAACGAATATCTACCAAATTTCACCGAAAAATATTCACCGGTTTTCAAGATATTAGACTTTTACTTTTGTTTACTTTTTTGGGATCTCCGCTGTTTCTAGCGACTTTATTTTAGAAGTGCGGCGTTTGCGGCAGATGTTGCGCGCAAATAGCATATACCACCGCGTGCTACAAAACGTTTTAAACATTTAAAAATCGTTAGATATCTGCGCTGACGTCACACATTCAGAGGGGTATACTTAAGCATTAGCCCCTCTGAATCAAAATGCTGCAATTTTGAAATTCAATATTTCCGATTTAAGGCATTTCTCGATGTTGTGAGTGCCGAAACCGGTAATTGTGAGCCAGGGACCCCATTTTGGCTATGTCAACTCAAATCTAATGTTAAGGTGGGAGGGTCCCTTTAATTACTTTGCCAAAAATGGTCGCACTGCCGCGATTTTGGCATCATCGTGTTTGTCTAGCTCAGGCGCGTTGAATGCTATACTTGGTGTTCGGGTGAAGTCAACTTAACCCGCGCACCGACGGGGGTCTGCGCCAACTTAGTACCGACGGGGGGGGGGCGGATGACCGCCCCCCCCTGAGATCTCGAGAACGAAGCAAGATAGCGACAAGCGGTAAACGGCATCGGATACGCACGGTCAAGATCTACAATTTTTACTAAGGTCATTTTCAGGTCAGGTCAAAGATGACGTCACAGGGGTCGAAAAAGTCAAAATGGCGGCGCTGAATATGGAGAGAGTTTTTCTCGAATAACTTTCGAATTAGTCAAGATAGGAACAAACTAAGGGCATCATCGTGATCCTCTCGTCAATCCGCATCGAATGATATATGTTGACCTCGAAAGGTCAAGGTCAAAGGTTGACCTCAGGTCACGTGACCTCGAGGTCATCATGTATATCATTCGATGCGTCTTGACGAGCTGAACACAATGAGACCATCCACGCGTCTGTATCTTGTTCCTGTACGGAGTTATTGGCCAAAAACCTTTGGTGACCTTTGATGACGTCACATGACCTCACAGCTGCCCAACAGCAAAACAGACCTCAAGGTAGTGAAGGTTGATCGTATTTGAAGTCATGTATGGTATATGGGGCCATTCCGACCCGTTTTAGTGGTAAAAACAGGGAGTTGATTTTTCCCCCATTGACTTATAATGGGGAGGTCGCGAAATTGACCTGACCTTAGGTCACCGATATCAAAATTCCGAGATATACAAATTGTAGCTACTAATGACCTAATAACATCCTGCGACTTTCAAAGGCCTCCGACATCTACTGTAGCTCTGGCACGGTGACAAAGTTGCAAAAAAGTGACTTGAGGTTGGGTCATTCAAAGTGACCTGGTGACCTGACCTTGAAAGGTAGGAGGTTCAAACTTGCACACCATGTGTAAAATTGATAAGGGAATAGTCATACCAAATTTCGCGGCGCTACGCGCCGCGGTTTTCCCGCTATTTGCGAAAAACCTCAGGGGGGGCGGATATCCGCCCCCCCCGTCGGTGCGCGGGTTAAGGTGTTAACCTCGGGTCAAGGTCAGGTCGGAGCCCCTCAGGTCACGAAAATGGTTGAAGGAGGTCATATTGCATATCATTCGATTCGGCAGGTCTTCCTGAGTCCAATGGTGGCTTTCCCGACTATCTAGCTCCATCTGATCAGGAGTTATTGACGAAAAACTTATATGGCCTTAGTGACGTCATAAATGACGTCACGCAAAGTCAACAATGCTAAAGTCAAGCACTGGACCTTGCAAGGAGTGCATGAAACCATTCCCGGTGCCCGAATAGCAGCTCCCAATTTCCCTTGTTGACTTAAAGTGGTGCTAGATCCTGTATTATACTCAATTATGACGTCATAACTTAACAGATTCACGTCATATATTTAGTGCTTGACATCCAAATGATAGCTTACATATGACAGAGAAGGTATGCAAAGTTTTATGAAGTTTGCTTCACTAGTTGTGGAATAACAAGCAAAAAACTTTTGCGGAAAGGCCGCTGGCCTCTCGCTGGAGCGTTTCCGACCAGTGTGCGGCGGTCCGGCGGCCGGCGGGCCACTGCCCGGGGTCACCGCCGACCGTCCGGCTGCACCGCTCGGCCGGCTCGGCCGGCGCGCTGCACACTGCACTGCCGCCATGCACGTTCGTGCCGCCAGTAATCAAAACGCGGCTAATGATAATAAATAACGCGCAATAAAAATGAGTTAAGCATAATGGTACGGCCGCCGACGCCGGCCGCTGGTGGCTGGCAGGCGAGTCCTCCCCTATGGACGGAGCTGACGTAAAGACGGCGCAGCCCCTGGGTGGGTCGCCGGCCGCAGGCGGCGGCCCGACACGCGGGCGTCGCTTCAAACGCGCCGCCCGAAAGTTTATTATTGTGTATTAATTACCGCTATTCAGGGATAACGAGAGAGTGCATGTGTCCGGCTCGTTAATAATTAGCAGCATGCATCTTGCAGTACCTAAGGATGATGCATTGCTGCTAGACAAGGAAAGCCTTGATAGTTTTCTCGATATAGAACATCAGAAGTGGGGATCAGCTCCTCGCATACCTTGCATACCTTCAAAACGTGTCGAGCGTTGAGTTTCAACACCATCAGGCTCGTACCATGCCGTACTGTGTGTCCTCTCATGATAATGGGTATTGGTAAGGGTAGCCTGAGCTGGCTATATTCATGAAGCGCAATTGCAGAGCAGCACGACCTGAGCGGACCATGGCTGGATGCCAGGGACCTTGGAGGCGTGTTAGACGGTGGTGTTAACTGCTTATCAAACTAGCTGAGCTCGGCCGCGCTCTCATGTTTCACTATCAGAGGGCCAAGCCGTTGGCAGCTCGACGAGCCCCTGAAATGTGACGACCGCGCCACCCAGGTCGCCTGGTGCCGCGATCCGGGATTTCCGCATACGACGGCGCCGCTGTGACCGGTTCGCAGCCTGTCAGTGCCAGAAGTTTGACCTCTACTGCGTCCGGCTGGGGGCTTTCGGAGGAGGCGGAAGGACTGCCACAGGTGCCGTGTTCCTGTCCTGGCACCCGGGTGGGCGGTGCAGAGCTGTCCTGCGCCGTGGCGTCTGGGCGGGGCCGAGACACCGGCGTCCGCCGAGCAGCCGTGTTCGGCGGGGGCTGACACGACCGCGGTGTCGGACCGCGCTCCGACCAGGTGCTGCACCGGACCGCCCAGCGCCGCTCACCGCGCGCCGGGGCGGGACGGGCCGTCCGCTCGCCCGGCGGACCGCCGCGTCGGCCCGTCGCCGCCGGCGGCCCGCCGTGCGGCTGCACGGGCCCGGCGACACGCCCCGCCGCCGTCGGTAGTAATGGCTGATTAGGTGCGCTCGGCGGCGCCGCGATACGCAGCGCCCCGCTGACCGGAGAGCGGTGGGCGCCGGTGACAGGCGGCGACAGTAACCGAGCCGGGCTGACGGACGGCGCGGCGGCGCCGCCGGCCGGCCCCCGCCCGGCCGCGGCGCGTCCTGCAGTCACCTGTGCAGCCGGCGCCGCGATTTAGTGACGTCCACACCGGGCCGGGCCCGCCGGCCGGCCGGCCGTGACCGGTTTTCAGGTGCGCCGGAGCCCATGTCACTGCTGCCCTTCCCCAGCTGCCGCAGCGGACCGGCTGAGACGGGCCGGTCGGTGGCGCCCCCGTGACCGCCAGGGGCGCCGCCTCACCCCGCCTCTTCCCGCCTTATTCCGCCACAGCCCGCCTCACCCCACGCAAGTCCATCTTATCTCCCAGCTATCCCCCTCCTCACCCCGCCTTACTACCCGTCTAATCCCGCCTCAGCCCAGCTCTCCCCGCCTCAACCCATCTCACCCCTTAATACTTCCCGCCTCAGCTCGCCTCACTCCGCCTTATCCCTCATCCTGCCTCACCCCGCCTCACCCCGCCTCAGCCCGCCTCGCCTCGCGTCACCCACCTGTCCCGGCTGCTGAATGTTTTCTGCGACTCGAGGGCTTCGAGGAGCATCAGGAGGAAGTTTCGGTTTGTAAGCAGCTGCTCGAACTGAGCCATTGCTGTCTTCACACCGACTGTGAATCCCACCGGGAGCTGCAACAGAGTGACGGTGACGGTCAGAGCTATTACATACCACCATGAATTCTACTGGAAGCAGCAGTAGCATGACGGCGATTGCCATTGGTCACAAAAGTATTCCATCGGAGGCGGGCGTAAGACAGCCACTGTCACAGATATGCGTAGTTGTACATACATACGGCGTCGGTCAATGGTCAGTCAGAGTACAGTGCAGTGGACGGCGACCATTTCATTTCGGTCGGTACTGGCGGAGGAACTGTCATTGATAATTGAACGGCATGGACAGGATCTGAGCGGCAATCTTGCCAGAGCGGCTGGATGGAACTGACGTCAAGAAACATCAGGATAGGATAAGACCCAAGACATGACTCGTTATGGATATGTTTAATCAAGAGAAGCGTTCTAAGGAACTGATGCTTGTGCGTGATACGGCATCGTTTTCTTTTATAAAGCGCATTCCCTACCTGCAAAAAATCGAATCAAAGTTGAACCCGCAAGGAACGCTTGGCAGGTGATAGAGATGTATGCAATAGACGTTTTGATTAATCTCGTGTATTGAAGATGTATACCTGTGATCAACATTGCTGTTGGTTTTGTTGATTCATAATGCATTCAAAAGCTATCCCAGCAACCAAAACCATCCGGTGCTCACCGCCGTATCAGCCATAAAACACAATCCCCGTCTAAGGTCAAGTAACAGTAGTCGATAAGATGTCCTGGAAGCTACTAGTTCGTGCTGAGTTTCTGAAAAGCAGCTGTGTTTTCAGAGCCGAGAAATGCCGGCTTTATTTGTTGTAATGACGCTGTTCGGCTCAGCTCCTTGACACCACGTTTGGCGGTGCTGCAGCGGCTCACGTCTTCTGACCGTGGTCGGACTTGGGTCACGATTCTGCGACTGAAGGACCCAATCACTCCGCCGAGGTATGCGGTGAGGCTGTGGTAATTTAATGTGTCTGAATCCGTCCGTAACTCTCACTTTATTAGGAAAAAGACACGGTCTGGTGAAATCAACAGGCGAGCAAATAATGTTCTGCACAAAGTTACAAGAATTGCCAAACGTAGCAGCTAAAACAAAATGAAACTGACTGTGAGTTGTTTCAGGCAGGGTATATTGAATTAAGGTTTCAGTTTTTTTTTAAATCCCCACTCACTGCGAGCTTTTTTGTCTCAATGTCCTTTTATTTAAAATCATGTGCGCGGAATGGATATTGGCAATGAAATGAACTGATTCAGACCGTTGGCAGTCATGCAGTGTGCATGTAAACCTCGCAGGCAATGATTAACTACTCGTATGTCTATGCTACCCTGCAACCTCCTCAAGTCCGTGTCTGGTTGATCTCGATTCTCGAAGCTCGACAGCATTCTCTATCCTACGTACAAAGTATTGAATAATTGAAATAGGAAGCAAGGCTATACCCAAATCAGACCTAATGCCTTTTACACTTTATATCAAAATTCCCTTCGTTCTCAGCCCACATTTGCTTATCATCTTTGCCTACCAGTGAGGTAATAGGCATAATAATGTAAATGACTGCATCTGGCGCATTGCATCTTCAATATATAAAATAAAATTTTAAAACACAATGTCCTCAGAAGAAGTAACACGTCTAATGCCATGATTAATACAGCAGTATAATATCCGTGCAAAATGCACCCATTATCAGACATTATCACCGCTGTTTAGCATACGAGGCTAAATTTAGCCAGTCGTCGGAGCTCATCCTGGAATGGTTTTCCGAGAATAGCCTTTGCTATCTCTGGACGCAGTCGTTGCGCAGACCATTTCATCGCGATGCATTAGCCGCTCAGCATTCCAAGTCGGTTTGGTTGCGCCTGACTATGTCGCTGTCGCTGTCGCTGTGTCTGCTGCTTAGTCGCCCGTCACTGAACGATCAGACCAGTGAACGATCAGACCGATCTTATAACAGAACATGACAACGCAGCGACTGGAGGCGAGGGTTGTGTGACTGTGCCGCGGCGCCGCTGTGCGTTCGTCATAAAAACTTGGCCCCTTCTGCCTTCATAACCGCACCTGTCTTCCCCTGACCCGCCGGCCGACCGGACAGGGCTGGGGCGATGTCGTCACCCTCCCCCCGTCCCACCCCAGCAGCAGCAGCAGCACTGAGTACTGAGCGCGTCCGACTGATCAGATACACAGCCGGCGACGCGATCAGTTGATCGGACGACCGAGGCCGAGCCACTGATCGGGGAGGGGCCGATCGGGGAGCCGAGCCACCGAGACGGGCGGCCAGCCGGAGGGCAGGGGCGGGTCGGCCGACTCTGTCCGCCAGTCACCAACTGACAGACGGTGCTGACATCAGAATCCGGCCCGAGACCGGCGCGACAAAAGTGTCCGACCATCGCCTGCTCAGCTAAGCGCGACCATGTCACATGCAAATGGCTGGCTGCCACCGACACGCTGCCGTGGTGCCGACCGGGCCGGGCCGGCCGCGCCGGGACGGTCACCGACTGAATATGAAGCAGACGACCTGACTAGCGGTTATTTTCCATTAGCATGCAACGAGGCCGTTTCGAAATTAAACTACGAAATGTTAATGCGATAGGAGACACAGGCCAGAGTGGAGCGGATCATGCGTTGGCTTTCAAGCTCGAAAGATGATAATGGAGAGTTGAAAGGTGGGAGGCTGGGCTAGTCATGAGAGCTCTAGTGTTCAATTACGAGCCAAGAAGGCTCGCATCTTCACTACAGAAGCTTCAAGATCCGGAACCACAACCAAAGAAGCATTGAGAGCCAGACCAACCACTAGTGAAGCTGCGGGATTCAGAACCGCTACCACCACCACCAACACCACCAGAGCCACCGGTTCATTAGTGCCACCACCATCACCAAAAGAGAGAGAAAAAGAATGTCCATCGCTGCCACCACCACCACTAGAGCAGCCACCACTCGAGGATCACCCTCGGAGCAGGCGAGAGCGAGCGAGCGAGGGATGACCCACCGTGTCCTTTCCGACTGGGTGATCGGGCGCGCCCGGGAAGAGCACGTTGAGCACATAGGTCTTGTGCTCGTGAATGATGACCCTCCCGTGCTCGAGGGCAGAGGTCAGGTCAGACATGTCCGTCTGCAGCTCGGCGAATGCTGCCGGAAGACCAGACACAGACAGGGGGTCAGAGAGACGAGCGAGAGGCGGGTGGCTGCGTGGGCCATACGACGGGCCGATATACGGTCAGCAGCGACAGAGACGCGCATGCCTTCATGGGAACTTTCAAGCACTTCCGTGGCAGGTCGAGTCAGTTCATATCGATAGCAACATGGCTCGTAGTCGTAAGCCGAAGAGGTGCAGTCTTTCGAAAAAAACGAACAAACGAGTTTGAATTTACCCATGCAAACATTTAAGATGGCGGCTGAAAAGTGCATATC